AGGCATAATAACCCATTTCAAAAGCAGATTGTGTTTGAGAAAGAACCACTGCTGTTCACTTATTTATTTACCTTTTCCAAAAGTGATAAGACATAATAACCCATTTCAAAAGCAGACTGTGTTCGAGAAAGAACCACTGCTGTTCAGCTCAAATCAACTAAACAATGAACCAACAACAAATGAGCTTAAGATGGCTCATTTGTCAAAGGTGGTCAATTTTCAAACCTACCTATCAGTATGTACCAGAAGTTAGAAGTATGACTTTCTAAAATCAATCTTAAAGCATCAGTCATCAACATGTTACTAATATAAATGTATGACCTCTTGCAAATTCCAGCATGCAGGTCTATGCATTTTTCTTTCATAAAAAAGGTCAACAAACAAGACAGATCGGAACAAGATATTCTGTTAAATAATAATGGTTTTTTGTATTATACATGTATACTCTGACTAAGATTCTCCTTTAAAATATTAAGAAACAAGAAATTCTGTTAAACATTAATTAAAGAACACATGAAAAACTTGAGCCATGTTGAATGAGCATGGACTTCGAATTAAATTAGATATGATATTCTCATTATATCCCAATCCTTCTTACGTAAGAAAGTCCAAGTATTTGAATCACATAGCATTATTCTAACAGTTATATTACACCACAATACCACTAAAAATGTTTCATTTTACTATTTAAGATGACTAGTCTTATCCAACTCGCATTCGAGAAAAATATTTTAGCTTCATATCATGGAGAAGTTAGGAACTAGAGTACATGTATCCTAGAGTATCAAAGGCGTACTAGTATCAGGATACAGATCTCAACTACGATCTTCAATTTTTATATCTTTCAACAGATGGGAGTATAGTGTATACAATATACTATATGGGTGTAGTGTACAGTATTCAATATAATAAAGTAAACCTCAAATTGGCTCATAATTGCTCTATTAGATAAATTTGTGGTATAAGATTTCCTCTAGTTTGCTCAAATTTTTTGTAGTTCTATAATGTGCTTCCATACTATCCTGTTTTATAGATGACATATGATACAGCCAAATACTTCTTACTAACTACAGCCTGTACTTGAAAAAAAAAAAAAAAAAAAACTACAGCATGTACTTTATTTCCAAATTCATGGCAGATAAATATATAACTTTTCTGTTAACATGGAATCATAAACCTTCAATCCAAGGCATCCTAGTCAATACTAAAAATGCCAAACCAACCCAATAAAACACTTTAAGATGAGAAATATTAATATGGAAACAAATCATTCTCAACCTAATCAACCAAATGAAATGTCCAAAATAGGTAGAATCCAGAACCAAGATAAGATACAAGTGGAACAGAACCTTGTTTTTCTCTGTATTAAATTCCAAGAGGAGTCATCCAATGATAATGCAATTCTTATGGTAGCAAAACTTCAATTTAACGTATTTCAACATGAAAAGGCAATTCTCAAACCCATCAGTACTTCTATATACAGTATAAAGTCGATATAAATTTCTGACTGACCATGATTGAACATTTATAGGTAGTAAAAGTGGGTCTGCTACCACCAGCACATAGTTTCATGCAAATGGTATACTTGCTGTGAGTCAAATATGTCATAAGGCTAATTGCAACTACTTAATAAGTCATTATTAGGGATCATATTTGATGTATGCATCCTCTGGACAATTAGGCGGTTTTTGTAGAAATTGTAAAATTGAGTTATAACCATTTTTCTGAATTATGTTATATGGAAGCAATTGGGCACATTCATGTCTTTGTTCTGATGAAAAGACACCAAGTTCCTTGGAAACCTATCTTTGTTTCTAACTACAATCTTTTGCTTTTTAATATTCATTTCAATAAAATGAACTGAAATAAATAACAAAACAGAATTTTCAAAGTTTTTTGCCCAAAATACAAGTCATGTCTTAACAAATTAAAAGCACCAAACTGATGTTATTTAACCAAGATAACTAACTTTCCACTTCCAAATTTCTCTACATGCATCAAAGGCAAGCATGTGTATTATATAATAGCATCTGAGTTCATAATTTTTCGATTTCATCAAGATGTTTACAGGTGAATTACGAACATACCTAATAGCATTAACATCTTCAACCTGAAAACAGAAGACAATAACGTTAAGTTGAAGTCAGTCACAGATAATGACAAAGTCAATCAAAAATATGTATAGCAGCGCTTTAGATAAAACTCCAATGGAAAAAAGTTCGAAATTAAAAACAAAAATTGTGGACCACTATCATACTGCAATTTGTGGATTGTACGATTTATCAACACTCGGTAAGTTGAGTGTCACAATGTACCACTAACATCGACCACACAAAACCGCACCCATTTCCTCATCAGACTACATTATTTGAACAGGGTAAAAATCTAAGCTCACTTCTAATAATGGAATTGCAAGAACAAGCCCATCATAGGAACAGACCATAAATAAGAAAACTGATAGAAACTCCAACTTCTTCTAAGCCTTTTGGTATATTTATCATAAATAAGCAGGATTCTTCGAGGTGTCAACAAAAGCAATTATCACAAAAAGTAGATACAATTATTGGAAAATGACTAAAAATCCAATTGATGCAGAAACAAGAAAAACGTAGTATGCCATAAAAGAGAGCAAGTACAGAAAAATCAATTGAAACAGCAAAGAGGAATAAATCCAAGGCATGCTTTCAATATAAACTAAAACTTGTTTCTTGTTGTCCAACTCCAGGCAAATTAAACATGATAGCCCTCATTAGTTCACAATAATCCCTCCTCAATTGATGTCTTGACATGGCTAAGAATTCCAGGCCAAGTGCAAGATCTGTTATTAATGTGAAAATCAAGAAAAATGCTATTAGAGGAAATAGGTTAACAGAAATTGTCTAGTTTGTTGGTGTATGCACAGGATAAGTGTTCTATAAAAGTTCATGAAGTGAAATCAGATGAATAAAATATGTTCGAAAAGTTGCACTAGAAACCACTAAACAAGTAACAAAAGAAATATGACATGCTTCTCACTTTGGCTTGGGCAATGGCTTCAACAAATCCTATCCTTCCTTCTCAATATCCTGAGCTACGGTAAAATAACATAGGAACACAGTAACCGATTCACAGCTGCAATCTTCTTAACCTTGTTCTTAGATTCCAGTATACAGGAAGCGAGCTTACCATGTTAATCAATATGAATTATAACTTATACTATGTATTGATATGCTTGTTTGCAATAAATAGAACAGAATATCAATAAAGAAAAAGAAAAACTTCCAAGGAGGTCAGAATCCACTTTGTGCATCTCTTCACACACAAATTGGCATCGCACTCTCAAAGATCAAATAAAAGAATAGGTATCACAATAATTAAAGCTAATAATAAAATGTTCTAAGCCCAACTAAGTCTCGAATTAAACTAATAAGATACCTGTGGCTCTTTTGCAGTGGCTAGCTCATATGGGATAATATCAGCTCTCTAATTCTTTCAATTGGATCACGCTACTGGGGTGTATTAAAACACATTCAAAAAACATATCATATGGGACAAATAAGAAATAGGATTAATAAAGGTTTCCTTTAGATTCAGAGAGAATTTTTTGAGGATATATCAACATGTTTGACACCGATTATCTCGACAACTGTGTGTGTGGCAGGTGCTCCCAGAGTACCAGGATCACATATAAAATGACCATGGTACCAACAAGTGTCCATTTCAAGAATCTGAGTCAATATTATGAGCAAAGATAAATATTAGTTATTTCAATGTTAAGTACCGAAAGTTTTGTTTTTGTGTATTAGGGACGCGTTCCCCTTTTGAACGTTTTTCTAATATATTTTTTACTTATCAAAAAAAAAAATTGTTAAGTGCCGAAAGTGTGCACTAAAAGTATATATAATTACTCAGATTACTCACCTTGGCTAGGGCAATGGTTGCATCAACTTCTTTCCTATCTTCCCTCTCAATATCCTGAACAAAATATCAAAACATATATATTATCAATGGAGGCTAGAAACCACATTATTCAGCCCTTCATACACATATTGGCATCCTGTCTATAAAAAGCAAGAAAAGAAAAGAAAAAAAAAAAAAAAATTATGTACATAATTAAAGGTAACAATAAAACTTTCTGACGGCAAATAAATTTAAAATATAGAACTCTATATTCTATAAGCTTAAGTTCAAGAATCCAACTCATTAGATACCTTTAGCTCTTATTCAGTGGCTAGCTCATATGACATTACACTAGCTTTCCAGTTCTTTCAACTGGATCACACTACTGGAAGTATTAAAATGCATCCAAAAAAGAAAAAAGAAAAAAACATATGAGAGACAAACAATGCTCGAGTTATATGGAGTTTCCTTCTAGATTCAGAGGGATTGGTTATATCAACATGTTGATACTGGTTATCTCCTCACATGTACGGTAATTGCTCGTACTTCTAGATATAAAATGACCAAGATACTAGTATAGCAACATCTTGAGCAAAGGCAAGTATGAGTTATTCCAAAGTTAACTGACAAAAGCGAAGTACAAAATATTAAATAGAAATTACTCATCTTGCTCACCTTGGCTTGGGCAATGGCTTCATCAACTTCTTTCCTCACTTCCTTGTCAAGATCCTGAAGTGCCCTAAAAAAAATCAAACAAATCCAAATAATTAAAGCTCAAAAAAAGAAAAAGAAAAAGAAAGAAAGAAAAAAAAAAGAAAAAGAAATACCTTCTTAACCCGACTATATTTCAGGAAAAAAAAAAAAGCATCCACATCGGTTAAACATGCTATATATCCATGACTGCCTAATAGAGGGTGGAGGGGTGGTTCTTGGACTTTTCACAATGAGAAATCCTAGCGTAGCTAGCAATGGAATCATGAAACTATTTTTGCTGCTTTTGTTTTTTTGCAACTTTGAATCCAACTGGCCCTACCATCACTTTGCAAAACTAAAAAATCGTAATTTTAGCTTCTGCAGTCCTAATATTCAAACAACAATGCCCTTCTAGAAGTTGCATTTTTTTCAGGATCTGAAAATGACTTGACGCAAACTGAAGCTCATATTAAGAGAAGTACCTGCAGTATCCCATAGGCCAAAGTCCACAATACTACCATCCACCGCCAAATTAGCAATGAAGTTGTCAAGCACAATTGGAACATAATCCCATCATAGAGGGAGGTAGAAAAGGAAAAGAATAAAGAAAAAAGAAAAGAAAACGAAAAAAATCAATGGCATCATAATCACTTTCTCACTCTTCAGTGACAAACAATTCTCCAAAGAGATTAAATGTATTACAATCAATATTGGAGAGATTAAATGTATTACAATCAATATTAAATTCAAGTCACTCCATCGCCTACTGTCAAACTCTTGATGAATGTTGCTGAACTCAATTTCTTTTTTCATGCCTTCTTTTTAATTCCTGATATTATAACTTGGGCATGAGACGCACTTAGAAAAAAAAAATAATAATAATAAGTTAATAGTACTTGATCTTTTCCCTTCCTTGTTGAAGAAAGGAATGGCCACAGAGTTGTAGCTTACAATCATTTTGGAAATCCTCTGCTTTTCCCTTCCTTGCTCCATTGCTTTTCTTTTTCTTGCCAAGTATGCAAACAAAAAGAAGCCCAAGGCCATACCTATTGGGAAGAAGGATATTATTTTCAGTTAAAACTTTGAATATTCATTTTTACGTTCATATAATGACCATGCTGAAATAACATTTTAGAGAGGAAATCATATAATTTTACATTTAGAAGTTGTAGATAAGTCAATAATACAATTACATTTTTGACTTGGTGCTACCCACATCATTGCATGCTTGATTCAATAAGAAGCATGCCAGTGTTACTGGTACTTCATCGAATCTACACTGCAGTTCGAAAATGTCGAGGAAAGTTACTGGCAGCAACTTGTTGACCTCGCGGAAGGAAAAGGCACCCGCATTCCTTCTCAAGGTCTTCTTCGTCACCGAGCCAATTTAGGTGGGTTTTTCCACCTTTTTCTCAGAACTGTCGCCGTTGGATGGAGAAATTGATGGATTAGGACACATCATTTTGAAAAATTATTTTGACTCTCAGAGATTTCTTCCACCATTCTTTTTTCTCACCCTATTATTGCTCTCCTTATCCTTTTGCGTTTGGCTTCTCGTCTCCTCCTCTCTTCTTTTATTATCCCTTTCTTCTGTATTCTCGTCCTCTTTCTGCCCTTAAGGTGGAACAAATGAATAGAACTGTTCAGTAAGCAACAAAAATTTGAACCCAAAAGTCTGACTCATGGACTTGATTCCCGATTAAATCCAGCTCAAACCAGGTTTCTTCTTCACTTTTAGCCCTTCCATTTCCTTCCTTATAAGACATGCTTCACTAAAATTACCAGCAGAGCAGTGTATGTTTGATTCTAATACATACCCTAATGAATTTTCTGGATCCAACTCCTTCAACTTTGTTGCAGCTATGTTGGCCAATTGGGTTTCACCATGTTTCCTACAAGCTCCTAGCAAAGCACTCCAAACAACAGAATCTGGTTCCATTGGCATTTTCCTTACAAGCTCTTCAGCCTCAAGAATTTTCCCTGCTCGCCCAAGAATATCAACCATGCAGGCAAAATGATCAAGTTGAGGGACAATGCTGTACTTTGTTAACATGGTATCAAAGATTTTAGTTCCTTCTTCAACCAGTCCAGCATGGCTGCAAGCCGAGAGAAGGGCAACAAAGGTGGTGGCATCAGGTTGGACATTCATTTCAGCAAAGAACTGCAATGACTCTTTGGCTTGCCCATGCAAAGCATAAGCTTTCAACATTGAATTCCAAGAAACAGTGTCCCGAAACACCATTTCATTGAAAACTTGCTTAGACAGGGCAATTGAACCACACCTTGAATACGCATGGATTAAGGCATTAGCGATCACTGTGTCATCCTCAAACCCGGCTTTGATTACTTGTGAATGGACAGCCAAGGCAAGCCGGTCAGTCACAAGGCCAGCACAAGCTTTTAAAACAACTGAGAAAGTATAAGGGTCCGGAGAAAAGCCCTCATTACGCAACTGACTAAAAAGGAAGATGGCTGCTTCCGGATCCTGTTCTGCAAATGTTGTTATGATCCCAGTCCATGAAACAACATCTCGACTACCACTTGTCTCCACGAAAAGATTGTAACAATCAACAATGCCCCTTCCAAGATTCGAGTAAGCTTTCACTAAAGCTGTTGCCACTCCAATCTCCAGGATAAACCCAGTTTTAATAGCAAGACTGTGCAATTGGAAACAACACTTCAGGCCCAGAGCACCATCATTGCTATTGCTTTCACACAAGGAAGAAAAGACGCTGAGAAGTGTGGCACGATCAAACCCAACGTCAACACGATGCATCAGGGAGAATAAAGCAATAGCTTGGGCACCCAGTCCGCGAATCTGAAACCCTGCAATCATCGAATTCCAAGTAATGAGATTGCGGAAGGCCATATCCTGAAATACCGTCCAAGCTTCATCTTTATCGGCATCATAAACACCATAACGACCACATTTCGAGTACATTGTAATGAGAGCATTTGCTACATAGACATAAGCATTGAAACAAGTTTTCAGAGCAATCGCGTGTACCTGCCTGCCACCGTAACAGTCGCACGATGAGATTACACTTGTGTAGGCAAATTCAGTCGGACGGTGGTGAGACAACATGTCTGAGAAGACACGGAAACAATCATCAGCTCTACCTTGCTGGGCATAACCCGAAATGAGTACAGTCCAAGAAACAATGTTTCTGTGCGGCATTTCGTCGAACAGTTGGTGGGCATAAACTAAGTCACCGCATTTGGCATACATGTTGATGAGATGGTTGGTTACGTAGATGTCAGGATAGTTTTGGGGGTGGTGTGCGAGCATGTGATGGTGTAGAGCTTGACCTTGTTGGAAGCTGTTGAGACGAGCACAAGCATGAAAGAGGGTGGCGTAGGCTTGTTGGGAGTGAGGTACGTTGAGGGTACTGTAGAAAAGAGAGAGTGCTTCTTGGAGGTGGCCGCGCGTGCAGAGAACGTGCAACTCTTCGAGAATTTTATTGGATTGGGCTGAGGGGCAAACCGTAGGATGATTAGCGGTGGTTGAGGGTCGGAAGAAGACGGAGGTGCGTGCAGTTGGTCGTAAGCAATGATGGACTCGGCTATGCATCTTCAACCAAGTACCCACTAACTTTATAAGTTTTGATCTAAAAAGTATTGAAGTGGGTTGGATGTAATATGATTTTTAGTTTTTGATTTTTGAAAATTAAGTTTGGTAATTTCCTTCATTTGGGAGATTTTTTAATTGCAGCTACGTCGTTAATTGTAATGTTTTTCAAATCTTGTAAATTATGTTACAGGACATGTCAATACCCAAGACTGTCACTGCTTTAAGGGGTCTCCACTCGAACTACCGCAGGCATGTGTTTTTGCCCCTAGCTTCAATTCTATTAAACTTATGAGTTGCTCAGTTCCAAAACGCTCATCTGGTGCCCTTATAATTGGTTGGAGCCCTGGGCCACCGCGTAAATCGCCTTAGGAGGGCTATGGGTATTGAAGCTCTCTTAGATGATTATTGTGTTACGTATCTTAGAGATTTGATTATGTCATAGAATATGACATAAAATATTTTGTAATTTGATTTAACTTTTTTATTGTTTATTATAATATAAATATGTACTATTTTTATCTATAAATACTACAATTGTGAATGAGTGAATATCTATAGAGGCGCCTCTATAGCGTAGAAGAGAAGAAACTTTAGTTCAACACAAATTGACTAACGGTTGGTTTGATAAATTTTTGTATGACTATAATTAATAATATATTAGGTGGATCCAAGGATGGGCTATGGTGGGCTTGAGCCCACCCAAAAAAATATATATATAAATAAATTTAGTAGTACTAGTTCATCCCATAATAAATTAGTCCACCCCATTATGCAATTCTTGATCCGCCATAATATATATATATATATATATATATATATTAATATAGTCTTATATTAATTGTAAGTTCGGCCCCCCAACCATAGAATCCTAGCTTCGCTCCTGATTCCTAGGAAAAAATTTACTATTGTCCTCGACGAAAAAGTACATTTTAACGGTCATTTGGGTCCGAGTTGCTAAAATTACTCACAAGTACCTCATTAAAGAGGAATCTATTTTGGGCTTTTCCATTATATGCATGTTCAATAATTATACCAAAAAAAAAAAAAATAAGTCAAATAATATTTAGGATCCGTAAACGTCCCGCTCTACCCTACCATATTGGAGCATCTCCAATGGTCCATCAAATCATTCAAATGGCCTCTCAAACTCAAATTATAACAAGTGAATAAAAATAAGGCACTTTAAAGGTCTTTCAAAATATCTCTAGTATTTTGAGATTGTCAAAAGTATTGTCAAATATAAACTGAATGAAAATAAGACACTCCAATATACTCTCAAAAGACTTCTCATATTTTGAGATTATCAAAAGTTGCTAAAATGAAAATAAAGCACTCAAATGAATTCTCAAATTATGAAATGATTGTTGTATCAAAAAAATAGCATTTTGAATGAAATGCACCATTAAAGTATAATTATAAAAATATAATATTTTAATATTATAGTTTCTCTCAAAATATAAATTTGAGATAAAAATATAACATTTTGCATTAAAAATGCTCTTATACTGTAAATAATATGTTTTTTTTGAAAAATAATTTAATAATGACAATGAGACAACAACAGCATTAATGATAAAATATTTTTAAAAATAATAATCAAAATATTTACTTTCCTCGTCCTCTCTCTCTCTCTCTCTCTCTCTCAAAATCACTGAGATTCCGGGATAGAGCCGGCTTCCAACAGCAACCCAACTGGCGTTAATAAAAAATTATTAAAAAAAAAAAATCAAAATATACTTTCTTTCCATGATCTCCTCATCACGGTCTCCCTCTGCATTCTCCTTCGTCGACCATCAAGCAAACCAATTTTTAATTTATTGGCGCACGTGGTATGCTTGTTTGACATTAGATAGAGAATTGTAGTTTATATAAATAGAAAACGCGAAAGCTTTCCAAATTTGATTTGGTTAGGTCATATCAAAAAAAAAAAAAATTTAATTGATAATAGAACTTCGATAAAAATTTATTCACATAAAAATTTAATTTGACTATTCTAAAATTTCAATTCAAATACAATTTTTTCCATAATTTGATTATCCTAAAATATTTCCAACAAGCACGAATAACTCTTTCCATATAAATATATAATTTTCATTTTTACAAACTGTGTTTGTATATCTCTGAATGTTTTTATAAGAATTCTATAAGAAATTATTTTTTACAAAATTTAGAACAAAAATTTCATTTGAGGTTTTCAATATCAACAAAAATCGATGATTGAAGAATCTAAATTCTTATGTTATTCATTTGTTTGTACTTTTTATCATAGTTATTATTTTGTTAAATTTTCAATTGTTACTTTCTTTGAAAGTTATTTTGTTTTTGTTCTTTTCGGTAAGTAAAGAGAGTTATTTTTGTTAATTTATTTTTGGAGAGTTTTGTTTTTAAAGTCATTTTATATTTTGGTTTTAAATTACATATTTTTACATTGCCAAGTGAAGTCCATGAAGTGTTGATTTTGTATTTTTAGGGCCTAGGATTTCATCTTAATATTCTTTGTTAGCACTACTTGTCACAATATCTATAATTACACGTTCATTTATGACATATCTCCGGCCTTTATAGAAATTAAAAATATAAATTTTTAAGACAAAATTGCCCTTTAACCTTTTCTTATCTCTCTCCTTTTATTCCCCCCTCCTCAATTTTATCCTTAGATATATACAAACACATCAATAACATTCTAGATTGCCAAAAAAAAAAAAAAAAAAAAAAAAAAAAAAAAAAAAAAGGAAATATATTATTTTCTTTCTTTTTGGATTGCCAAAACAAATAATATTATGGGAATGGATTGTTTTATTTCCTTTTTTTAATAATATTTTAACTATATATATATATATATATATATATATATATATATATATATATGTGTGTGTGTGTGTGTGTGTGTGCGCGCGCGCGCTAAAGATTCACATTCAATTCCTATAATCACAATTCATACAGCGGAATAGTTTCTTTATTTCTAATTTTTTTCTCTCCTCACTTAATTAATGAATAATGTACATGTATATATATATATATATGTACATGTATATATATATATATATATATATATATATATATATATATATAACTACCTTCATATACATATAAATTTTTTTTTTCTATTTTTTTCTCTACTCACTTAATCAATGTACATGTATATATATATATATATACCACTTGCTATCAATATATAGCATGTATATATATATTTAAAATATAATTTTAAAAAAATAAATAAAATAATCAATTATCACAATGTTAATTGTTTTTGGCAAATCCAAAAACAAAGAAAATAATATATTTCCTTTTTTTTTTGTCAATCTAATATATGTGTGTGTGAGAGAGGGTAATTTTGTTTTAAAATTTTATATTTTTAATTCCCATGAAGGCACGAGACATCCTAAATGAATGTGTAATTATAAGAATTATGATTAGTAAGCAGCGCGTCTGTGGAATGACAGTTGCTAGCGCGATTGCCCCTGCCACTCCTCATATATATATACACACATATATGTATAAGATTGTTATAGGCACGAATGATTTATCTAACTCTCATAAACAAAATAAGGAGAGGAATCTAAAGAAGAAAATTTAGAAAGCATTGCAGCCTTTGGCACCGGAAATTGCAATTTTGTATCAATAAATTTTTTATATTTCAATACCATGAAAACAAAGAATAAGATGAGGAAAGATGCAGAAGCACTTATAGAAAAATAAGAAAAGGGGAGTTATGGAAACAAACAAGAGTGTATAGTAGTAACGATTTCCGTTTAAGTTTGAAATTTTGGAATAATCACGTCATATTTTTATGTCAATCGGTTTTAAGTCGGATATTAAAGTCGTAAATTATATAATATTTCTTAAAAAACAAAAACGAAGAAAAAATATATATAGAAAAAAATAGAAAAAGCTTCTTCTTAATTTTCCCTCACCAACGGGAAACTAAATACTCTTTCTCTTCCCCTTACCAAAATCCTAAATCTGAATACATAACGAAGTATAGATGAACGAACCATTACTGAAGTCCTAAATTGTAATACATAATAAAGTATAGATTAATGAAGATTTGAACACTAGTAATTAAATGTGCCTATATATTTTGAATCCACAAGTTCTACCTAATACTATATTTGTTTTGTTAAAATTAGTAGTTTAGTAATTTTCTGTTTGTGATTATTTTGAAGAGTTTTTAGTTTTTCTTTTTTCTTTCTTTTTTTCCCTTTCAATTATACCATGTAAGAGAGCACTCTTTTCTTTTTTAACTCTGAAGCCAAGTCACATCCTGGGTATTTTTATATTTTCTCTTTTGCGTTGCCTATCATTATTCTTTAGGTATTTTGTTATACCTATAGTGTCTCTTGAATATTGTTAAGAAGTACTTATATATATAATGTTACAAGTAATATGCAGAGGATAGCAATACTAGAGATTCAAATTATTAACATACCTTGTACATAGAGAAGATATGTGAGTAAGATAGCCAAAGTATTATTGTGGAGCACAAGTATTATTGTGGAGCACAAATATCAGCTTCCATCTTCAAATAATGATATCAAGAGAGTGTCCTGTAGCATGAGTGATGAATTCTCTATATTTATCCCTTAGATTAAAATATTTTCTTAAGATACGCTAAAAGTCAGTGCTTTCATATGGTGTTTAAATGTGTAAAGAGTGCTTAGCTGTAATTTGACTTTTCAAAATATTTGACCAAAGAGGCAAAGACCATGTGACCATGTCAAGGATAAATTATTAATCTAAGTAAGGTAAAGACCGTGTCATGCTTACCTTTTAACTTAAAAAAGAAGAAGGTAAAGACCATGTCTTGGTTCATTTAACACTTGTGGACTAATTTAATGGGTAATGTTAATAATACATTCTTAAATATTTTTGTTGGGTTATTTTTTTGGATTAAGATCCTTTAAATTAAAAATCTCTCTATATTATTTTAAGTTAAATTATCAGTTCACCTAAATATAGGGCTGACAACGTCCCACATAATTTAGTGATAAAAAATTATTGAAACCGACAATGTTCTACCAGTATTCTTAATTTGATTTTTTTTTTGTTTCATATCATGCAACTAGATTCTCCGATTTTTTCACCTTTCATTGTCTTTCCTCTATTCTAATTCTTTCTTTTATATTTAAACCTAAACTCTCCTTCCAATTTCCTCCCACTAGACATATATAAAGTTAGGTTGTTCAATTAATTTTTATTTTTATTTTTATTTCTTTATTATCTAAATCAATGAGATAATTGTGTTCTTTTAAATATCTGATTTGTTGATTACAACAAGTTAGTGACTGCATTTGATTCCGTCCAAGTGCAAATTATTCAATCTAAACTAAAAAATTAGGGTTTAAACTCACCAATGATCAACACAAATTTTCCGTACAAGTGCAAGTTATTCAATCTAAACTAAAAATTAGGGTTTAAACTCATGTACCAATCCATGAAGAACCCACTAGTTTCAGGCATAAAAAACCAGAAAAAATGGAGAGTTGAAGAAATTTTAGCATTCGTTAAAATGCCACATGTCAAAAATTTTAAGATTCAACTTAGGATAATGTAGAGAAGTTTTAACTGAAAGTATCCTAGTCCTTTTTTTTCAATTAATCTAGAGTCTCTCAATTTAATTAGTACATCAACTGTCAATAATTCAAGAGTCTGTTAATTTAATTAGTACATTAACTGTCAATAATTCAATAGTCTTTCAATTTAAGTGTCAATAATTCGGGACCATTTAATAATTTCTCTATGAAGGGCTAAATGAGACTACTTGACTTAAGTTGATGTAATCTCTTTCTGGAAAGAGCACATCCCTCGGCCTTAAGCATCCTTAGGTCCTTATGTCTTGTTAACCCCATCCTAAACGTGTGCTCAAAATGGAGAAAAGTAAAGTCTATTCCTTTACTAAGAAAGGAAAGAAAAATTTGTATAACATCAATCAAAAATCAACTATATGCATTAAATTTTGAAATCATTAATGGAAAAATTGAAAAACTGTAATATATTAAAATTAAAATTAAAATTAAAATTAAAATTAAAATTTTCCAATTTCAAAACGTACACTAATTAAATTTGATCTCTCATTGCATTCTCAGCTAGGATACCATTGCCTCTATTGCTTCCTCCGGTCTCTTGTTCTTGATGAGAAACTGGTATACCATTGCCTTCTCTGATCTCTTGTTGTTGATGAGTAAAAGCTTGAATATTACCACTACCTCCTCCAGTGCTCTCTCTCACTTGTCCTTGAACAGGTTGTTGAAATATGTATCTTCCTTGTAGAGCACTACTATAATTATAACTGTTACTGTTGTTGAGACGAGCATAGTCTCCGTTTCCGGCCAAAGATGAGGTCGATGGACATTGTTGTGGCTGCAGCATTAGGTTGGTCCTAAGTTGTTCCCTCACGAACATGTTGTCACTTGTTAGGCGAATGTTCTCATTTGTTAGGCGAATGTTCTCATTCATAAGCTCATTGAGTAACCTCCTATGCTCCCCCAAAGGTCCACGGACAGGGTCCTGTCTCCACCCAGCTGCTTCCCATTCGATGGACTGAATGGCCTCTTGCTGCTCCGGAAATTCCAGATCTTTTAATCTCTTCTGTATGCTATTCACTCCCCATATTTTCTGTACTTCATCAAATTCATTCTTACGTGCCTGAGGGAAGTGTCGCGCCATGATGCAATCCGGCTCGCATCTCTTCCTCTGATGTCTGCACGACGCACATGCCGTAGACATCCTCACTACAACCACAAATTAACACATCACATACACCATTAACACATCACATACACCGAAAAATCACACATACATGTTCATATATATATATATATATATATGAACGTACGTATAAAAAACAATAATAACAATAATCAAGCCTTTTTTTTTTTTTCTAAATTTTCTTCTTCTGTTGTCACTTTTCCTAACCAGGGCACTGATTTAGAAAACCCTAATTTTCTTCAACCCTACCTTAAAGAATTACAACTATTTATAAACAAATGCAATAATTAAGTGGGTGTGTGCATGTGTGTTTTGAGAGAGAAAAAAAAAAGAGAGAGAGAGAGAGAGAGAAATCATGTGTACGTGTGAGAGCAATTGAGAGAGAGACTAAAAATATTTGGACTTACCGTGGGAGAAGAGTGAATTACTGTGGATTTACCCGGGAAAACGAAAAAGAAGAGAGAATTACGGAACGAAGAAGAAGAAGATAGAGAATATAAGTACGACTTAATTACAGTGGAAGAAGAGGAGAGAGAATTACAGTGGGACTGCAGAAGAAGACGGAGGCACGCACGTCAAGTTTTAGGCTAACATAATTATACCCTAAATCTAATTAACCTAATGTGTATTTTAAGGGTATGACAATATATTTCATACTGGTCAGATGACGGATTTGCCCTTTTGGCATGACTTGGCATTTTTTTTTTTTTGGTAATAGAATTCGAGGCCGGGATGGTAGATAAATTCCGATGTCCTATTGGTAATAGAATATTCATATCAATCCAAATCTAACGCTAAATAGCAATTTCCATTTGGTTTGAACATTACAATTCTATCATGTTCTTGATCTAACGGCCAGGATGTAATGTGCACTTGATGAGCAAAATAGGAGCGTTAGATATACGAACCTTGACATATTTGGTCTTGAGGACACTGTTCCTTCTATCAACTACGCCTGACCACGTACCTTGAAGAAAAAGAAAAGTGAAGATAGTCTTAATTTCTAACTTTAAAACTTGTCTATCCAAAAGCATGTTAGTTGTAATTAAATTGATTTATAGTTTATACTCAGTAATATATATTAATATATTTATCTCTATATATATTTATGAGTAAAATAATAAAATGGGATTAATGTGATATCTAAGTGAATCTATTGAATAGAAAGTTTTGGGAATCTTATCAATTATATAAGAAATTATAAGTCTTTTGTGTTCTTAAAGAATTTATAGAATTTTTGTATAATTTTTTAATTTTTAAATTTGTAAAAATATAAAACTTTTTTTTTTTTTTGAGTGACAAAGTAATCATTACACTCTTACTTTTTTTTATAGAGCATAAGCAGGGCCTTACTAATGGGATGAACTAATAGTGTGCTCCATTGTTATCATCCTTGCCTTTTAGTCCATAGGCATTTTTCTTAAATTTGACTATATAATCAGAATAGTTGGCTGAAATATAGGTTAGGTGGAACGTGGCCCAGCAGGCTTGTACTTCAAGCCCAAATCTTTACTTCCACCACCCAAAAATGTTGTCCATTTGGAATGGGTTGGATTTCATTTTTGTTACCAGCACACTTCCTTGACCACGTCAGTGCATAAATCACGTAACAAGAATACGTCAGTTCATTTCAGTACATTTTGTGAGATATAAAATTTGTAATTCGCGAATTTAATTCGTTGTCAAAACAAATCTGATCAAGTTGTAATTTTAAGTTCAAATTTCAAGTTCGAGATTAAAAGCGAAATTAAAAAGTTGTTCGTGATCAATAGTTTAACGACTTCAAAAAAGGTAAGAACAATACCTTCGGAAGTTTAGTTAGAAGGTAAGGACACTTGCATGCATTACATGTTTTCAAAAATAAATTTTGCCGAAACTTTTCTAATTATAAAAGCCTCCAATTCAAGTTTGGCCAACTTGAACCGATTCAAGAGTTAATGCTTCGTTTTTAAAATAACATACTAGTCAACTTGAACCAGTTCAACTTCAAGGGCAGTTGAACCGGTTGAAGTGCTACAACAGTTTTTGATAACTTTGTTTCCCACTCTATTTTAACTTCCTATTATGTATATACTTTCTACTAAAACCTTCGCACCTTGACACCTGGCGTCCAGACATCACCTGCTGCATCCGGACTTCCAATCCTAGAAAATGCCCCGAGCCCATTTTTCTTTCCAATTTCTTCTATTTTCTTCTTTCATTCCTCCACTCTTCTCATCATCTCGAGCCCATGCAGCTTCTTTTTGTCTTCAACATGACACCAAATGAAGTTTCTCATTTTCCTCTCAATCAAATTGACAACCACATCTGCTGGCAAAGTGTAATACAAAAGTCCAATAATACACCATGGGGGTGGAAGCAAATGTGGAAATCGATGTCGCCCCGGTTACGAGTTGAATGGTCCAAAAAATAATAAATATGAAAAATAAAGAAAATACCAAAAAAGTGTGGAAAAATCCGGGACCTCACATTTGCAGTTGATGAGGCCCTTAGGGTCATGCATAAAATTAACTTATTTTCCAAGTACAATTAGGGTCTCAAAAGTCTATAAAAACATAAGTTAGGGTTGGTGTGATTTTTTGTATTAAAATTTTGATTTTCATTGAGAGCCTTTAAGTGAGTTTTTAAAAACAGACACACTACACACACACGCGCACACACACACACACGAGTGAATTAGGGTGTTGTTTAAATCATGATCATGTTCAAATCTATTGAAGATTGCATCTATAACGATCAAAGAAAACATATTTTATTTCTTCTACAACAAATTTAGATTCGAAGAAGAATTTTTGATCACTTGATTTTATTTCTTCTACAACAAATTTTGATTTGAAGAAGAATTTCCAATCACACTTTAAAGGGATCAAAGCGCTTGCGGAGTATTATTGATCTACCAGGAATCTTTATACAAGGTTCGAGATATAAGTATGAAGTTGAGAGCTGTTGGACATGAAGTTGCAAAGTCGCGGACCTTCAACGGATTTAGTTTTGGTAGAATAAAAGGGTTTGAGTCTGAATTAAAATTTGGTATACTTTTCTTCATACATAATGGATCGTTTTACGCTCGGAATAGCGCAAAATACCTCAAGATTTTTCAATTGATTTTCTCCCACGTGATTAATTAATCTCTAAAAACAATTTTTAAAACTCAACTTTTCGCAATCTTTTCCGCTGCACAACTTGCCTTTCCTTCAAACTACAATTGGGGCTTGAAATATATATATATGTGTGTGTGTGTGTGTGTGTGTGTGTGGGCCCTGACCAAGCTAACCTAAGATAGCCGAGAGCACAACAGTGACACCCACTAAATCACTTTTAGGTCACATCACATCTTTCATTAGACTTGTCTTCTAAACATTTCAAGTTAGATAATCATAATGGTATATTGGTTAATGAAGCAAAGTCCCAAACCTTTGTTTCCAATCATGATTCATTCCCTCCCTTGTCCAACACTTAAAAAACCAACAAACACTAGCACCATACCTACTCGTCTGTTACCATCCCTTTCCCTCTGGCCTTGCACTTAAAGAAAAGTAAAGTCATCAAGCAAGCAATCATCATAGTGGTGTGTTGGTTGTTACAACCCACCCTCTCTCATTTAGTGTGTGTTTTATCAAACATATGCTTCTTATGCTTGTTTATGTTTGTCAAGTATTGAATTGCCATTTAAAGAAGTCAGGAAGGTTGGGATATAAGATATATCATATATAAGAAGAAGATTAGAACAAGCTTTGCTTAGTTGAAGAAAACACCAAAAAAGGGCTTCAAGAAATGACCACTGCAAGATTCATCAAGTGTGTCACGGTAGGGGATGGAGCAGTAGGAAAGACATGTATGCTCATTTCCTACACTAGCAATACTTTCCCAACGGTACGATTTTTATGAATTTAATTTAAATCCCTATGAAAGAAGAATTGTGATGCCTTTGATCTTTATGTTTTGCTTTTCTTTTTTTCTTTTTCTTTTTTTTTTAACATGATAGGATTATGTTCCAACCGTGTTTGACAACTTCAGTGCTAATGTGGTGGTGGATGGCAGTACAGTGAACCTTGGCCTATGGGATACTGCAGGTAAGTCCATTTAATTTCAAGTAATTAACCGATTTCGATCACAATTTTCTTTTACCTTTTTCTGCTTTGAATTACTTGGAGAGGAAAGGGCTCTTCTTTTTTGATTATATTTTTTGATAGCATAGTTCGAATAAGAGAATCTAATTTTAACAATAAATTAAAACCTCATATAAGTATGATTTGTACAAGAATTCACAAACCAAATGTGTATAATTTGAGTAGTAGCTTAATTTTGGACTAATACAGGACAAGAGGATTACAACAGACTAAGGCCTCTAAGTTACAGAGGAGCAGATGTGTTCTTGTTGGCCTTTTCTCTCATCAGCAAGGCCAGCTATGAAAACATCTACAAAAAGGTTATTCCCAAAAAATCTTTTATTTTTGGTTATTCTTATACAAATTATCATTTACAACTAGCTTGAATCTGATAATTTGATCCATGATTTCTTGATTATTAGTGGATCCCCGAGCTTAGACACTATGCTCCAACTGTGCCAATTGTGCTGGTGGGAACCAAACTAGGTAAGATAAATCAAATTTATATCAAATTTGAGTTAGATATTGTGACAAATTATATGTGTTTCTGCAGAGGAAAAAAAAAAAAAAAATTGCCTAATCAACTGTAACTTATTTCTTGAAATGCATATGAACTGTGCTATTCAAGTCTATTTATATTAGTATAAATGCAGAAGGAAGTAGCACATGACCTTCTATTCAAAATCAATACTGAATAAATGACAAATAATGAATATTCAATTCTATTTATACGAGTATAAATGCTGGAAAAAAAGTAGCACATGTATACTTGAATATCAATAAATATTCAATTGATTGAAAATAAATAAATAAATAAAAATAGAGCCATTGTAAATTTCACTCACAAATAACAATACCCTGAATCCTATTGATTCTTCTTAACATCTAATTGTTTTCCGTAACTCAGATTGAATCATACAGTGACTTCTATAATCTTGCTAAATTATATTGAACAAACCATAGTGATAAATTTATTCAAAATTTGACTTAATTCACTTGGTGATCCTAATTATGGTGACATTTTAAAGATTGAAAACCATTCCGTGCCTCTGTGAAACCAAGATTGTGAATTATTTTGGTCAAACTACGAAAATGAGTTTCATATCAATTCTATGTTTCAAATTTCAATTGTTACTAATCTTTGATCATTAGTCTCCTTACTGATTTTAATTTTGATTTTTTTGAATATCTGGAAATGCAGACTTGCGAGGCGACAAGCAGTATTTGAGTGATCACCCAGGGGCAACACCAATAACAACAGCACAGGCAAGTCAAAGTTACAAACACTGAATATATTCAAAATAATATCAGTAAAACTACTTTTTCTAAGTTGAAATTAATATATAATGTTTCATTTGATTTCGTCGACGAAATTAATGTGCAGGGAGAGGAACTGAGGAAGATGATTAGTGCAGTTGCTTACATTGAGTGCAGCTCCAAAAGTCAGCAGGTGTTATTACTACTTCTATTACATTTAATAATCAAAATTTTACATATGCTGTTACCATATTAATAATTTTTACCGCAATGTATGCTTTATAATTTTTCCTACAATGTTGTGTCTAATTATATCTACTGTTTCTGGTATTTCAGAATGTGAAGGCTGTGTTTGACACTGCAATAAAGGTAGCCTTGAGGCCACCAAAAATGAAGAAAAAGCCCCGCAAGGCAAGGCCATGCAATTTTCTTTAAGATCAATGTTCAAGAATTTTTTTTTTTCCTTTTTTTTTTTTTTTAATGGAAGTGTCAAATCAATTGTATTATTTGAATTTATTTCGTATGAGCTCCCTTTGGAGCTGCAGAGGATCTTTAGAGAGGACATTATATGTGGAATTTCGAATTTGATTTGTTTTTCTCAACACATATATAGCTAATAAGAGATTAAATGCTAAAAACCAATCCTAGTTGAAGAATGTTAGATGCTTTTTTAATACCTTTTGCTTCTCAATTTCCAAGGAGGATGTATCAGTGATTCACAATTTTTTATAAATAACAATGTTAAACCTAGGCTCTTGAGTCTTGAGCCTTACAACTATTTATAGGAAAATTAAAATCTTAAAACTTTAGTCCAAAATTACTATTAAGTCGAAAATTACGAAGTTAGAGGCTAGAAAAAATTAAAAAAAACAATTTACTAGTAGCACCTGTCTCAAACTTTATGTGCATATCTTAATTTATTATTTCTATCAAATTAATAGTTATGACAATTTGAAGCTTCCGCTACTTATTCAATATTATTAATTTACGAGTCATGTATTGAACAAATAGATGTGTTAATTTGCGAGGTTAACCTAAATATACGAAATGATGAATCAAATTGATGTGTTATTGAAAGTAAAGAAGAATTAGAGAGTTGTAAAGGGTACCATATGATTTATAAAAAGACATTCTAATGTCAATTCAAAACTGGCTAAATTTTCAGTGCCAGAGTAATAAATATATATGTAGATGTTGTTGGTCTTCAATATTTTAAAACCATTTTCAGATGCCTATGACTTGTTTGGTTGCATGTGCAACCAATTTTAAACAATTAATATAGCAGCATGTTGTGGCATTTACTGCATCCCACGTTGGCATTTAGTGAGAGCTGTTGCTGCATTTCTTGTCTACTCTTTTCAAGTATGCATCAGAACATTTTTTATACATTCATTGCCGTCACGTGCAACTTTAATTTTAAAATGCCGATATACTATTGTATTATATAAACAAACTCAAGACGAAATTGGAGAACACTACTAAATTTGTTGAGTATTATTTGTACAATCTTTAAATGTGTGTGTGTGTGTATATATATATATATATACATGTATAGATTTAGCATATAAATTATATCCCAATGCACGCTTCTTGTATGGTATGGGATACCTCTCTAAACAGAGGTCAAAGGTCATGAAACTCTCAAATTTTTAGAAATGGAGAATTTTCAAAAAAAAAAACAAAGAAAAAGAAAAAGAAAAAACATGTCTGTACATTGATTGTTGCGGGTACATAAATACTTCAAAATATTGTATAATTTCTTCGTGCAAGTGAAGGAGGTATGGAATACATACTTCTACTAGGAAAAGGGAAATGGAAACAAAGAGCAAAACCAAATAAATAAATATTAAAAAAAAAAGATTAAAATTGAAAAATTAAAGAAGCCTTTTGGTAGCCTAACGATAGTGAATACAGAATAGGTTTTTCTAACCAGCATCAGTTGAGATGTCAGATGTCCATTCTTATTTTTGAAGTTAGCTTTCAACGTTGGATGGGATATGCTTATTTAAGGTTACAAAGTCAACATCTGGAGTAACATCAAACGACATATATATATATATATATATATATATATATATATAGTGACGGATCAAGAAATTTTTTTGAGAGGGAATCATCGAAGAATAAAAAAAAAAAAATTATAGACAATTTTTTTAAAAAAACAATTGTGAAGTGGGGCATTTTAAAAATTGAGTGGGGTATTTTTGAAATTTTAACTAAAATTTTAGATAATAATATAAATTGAAAAAATTCAGTGGAAAAATCAGTGAGGTAAAAATGTGAAGGGGGCATTTTAAAAAATTGAGTAGGGCATTTTAGAAAATTTAACTAAAATTATAGGTAATAATGTAAATTAAAAAAATTCACACTGGTCCTGAATTAAGTTCGTGCTTGTATATACATAGAATATTAGATGAGGTCAGGCAAGAGTCTTAATTTGTTCTATTTTGATATTCAAAGTTATAGGTTCAAAATAAAAAAGTAATTTTTTTCACATGTGAAAGTAGAACTTCATATATTTCATTTTTTTTTTTTTTGGACCCAACAAAAACGAGAGTCTCCTACACAAAGTTTGTCTTTATATAGAATTATTGATTTAATTTTATTTATATATGCATATGATGTTAGTCATGAATGGAGGATTTCTGTTTTGGTCATTTTGATCAGCTCATCATTTATGTTTAAAAATAAATAAAAAATAAGCTCATTATCTATGCAGAAGATTAAATACTATAATTAATCAAACGGAACATACAAAAAATCATACGGTATATATAATAAAGCAAACTTAGCAATAATCTTATTTACAGTAATCACTAATAAACAGGACATATATACCCACTTACATAAATAATTATATATTTAAATAATACAAAATCAAAGCAATCACATCTGGCAGTGACCCCAAGTACATTTAAAAAAAACATTAAAAAAAAGTCTCAACTTAAAAGTCTATACAACAATATCAATAACAAAGTAAATACCCCATCAAAAAGATACCCAGCATATTTTGCATGATATAGATTCGCATTAGCAATGAATTGTCTAGTGATGATAGATAGTTGACAAATTCGAATGGAGTCAGAGTTATTTAACTTTTGAACTTTAAAACATTATTAATATATTTTTTTTTTTCCCAAAAAAAAAAAAACAAATGTCAATATGTTTCATCCCACCAAATTAATTATAGAAAAAGTTTTAGTAAATGTCGTTACAATGCATTGAAATAAGGAGTTGTCTTGGCCATAATCTGTGCTCGATCTGTAAATGTATGCCTCTAGCTACAAGTTTCCAATATGACGGATTAGCTAGGACAAGTCAGACAAAAACTCCTTGTGATAAGAAATAGATTGATTTTAGAACGCAATGATGTCCTATGAATAATGGATTTGATCTTTACCATTACTTTTGTTAGTCAGGTGAATTGATAGTTCAAGAATTAACAGGGTTAGAGATTCTCCTATCCTTTGCGAGTAGAAAGAAAAGCAAGATCATAAAGGTCATTCAAACATCAATATACGAACAACTGTTAATCAATCAACAAATCTTTTATGATTTTTGACTGTACTATGATTAATTGGGTTTTACGATATAATTTTGATCAAATTTCATAAAAGGTGAATTAATAATAGGGAGAAGTTTGAGAAAGAATTTTAAGTTTTAATAGTTTAGTGGGTTAAGAAAGTATTAAGTACCTACTTTTTAAAATAAGATTAGAAATTCGAATCTCAATGAATTTATTTGTGTTCCTAATTTTTAAAGAGAGGTTAGAGGTTTAAGTTTAAGTGAAAATACGTATGTGAATACTAATTTAAATATATATATATATATATATATATATATATATATATATATATATATATATATTTAAACACCTTGAATTGACTTCTTATTTATTTATTTATTATTATTATGTTTAAGTGAATTAGCTTTTATAAATATTGAAATAACCTATTTGGTTGAAACATTATTTGGGAATCGTATCCCCTCATGTTTTAGGAGAGAAAGGTACCTTGATGGATAATAGTAAAAGTTTGATGGTTCAAGTCTTTATATTAGCAACATTCTTCTTCTTCTTCTTCTTTTTTTCTTTTTTTTTTTTTTAGGTAAAGTGCATTAAACCCCCTTGAACTATGGAGGTTTTGCAACTAACCCCCCTGAACTACAAAAAACCCCCTTGAACTTTCACTTGTTTGCAATTTGCCCACTCAGGCCACCGGAAAAGATAAAAGACAATTTTACCCTTATTCAAAAGTACATCGTTTCTATCTCCCTCTCTCTGTTTCTTTATGTGTGTATATATTATAAATATATGTATATAATATATATATATATACATATATATATATATATATATATATATACACACACACACACACATATATAGACACAGAGAGGAGAGGGAGCACATCGATCTCGCCGGCCAGTTATAACGCCACCTCGTTCATGTTGTCGTTAACCGGCGACACCGACGGCAAGCAGCCGTCGTCCTCGTCGGCGTTCTAGATCACCAACATGTCCCATGTGTCCCGCGAAGAACAGAAGTAAAGGCGGCAGAGACCCGGGCGGCGGAGATGGACCATCACGGCCGAGTCCTCACCGGACGACCTTTTCATAGCCGACCTCTTCACTGCGGCAAACGACGAAAGCAGATCTGACATCCCAATGTTGTCGACGGCGCAGACGGTGATGGACTCCCGTAACTCCTTGTGCCACACCCAGCGCATCCTCACTGCCTCACCAGTAACTCCTTATGCCGCTGTCCTCTGTCCTCGTCGGCGTCGTTTCTGGGTTTGACAGCAACAAAAAACCGTACCAGTTGCAGAGTTCGTGATTTGGGGATTTTTTTTATTTTATTTTTGGTTGAATATTATTTGGGGAAATTTGGCAAAACCATGATCAATTTCATTTTTTCGGCTAGGGTGGATTGGTTGGGCAGAATGGTGACTGTGGAGGTTTTGGGTGGAGAGCGGTGATAGTTTTAATTGGTTGAAGGTGGTGATGGACTGGTGGTTATGGGTTGGAGGCTTCGGACGGTGGAAAGGATGAAGGCGGCCTCGGCGGTTTCGGCTTTGGATGATGTCGGCTGTGATGCAGCGGCGGTGATGGACCGGCAAGGGCTCGGCAGTGAGGAAGAAATGCGGCGGTGGAGTGGACCGGCTGGCAAGGATGAATCCAAGCTTCTTGTTTTGTAAATGGGTTTTGATTTTTTAATTTTTTTGTAATTTTGAAATTTTCTTGTTCTGTAAATGGGATGAATCCAAGCTTCTATGCCTTGGATCGTTTCAATTCTAATGCCAAAGGACCGGTCACGAGCATCTGTAAAACATACAACATATATATATATATATATATATATATATATATAGATGTATACATATATTGGCAGATATATACTGCACAGATCGATGAGGGAGACGGACAAAACGTTAGAGCTTGTTTGGATACTAGTTGGGTCCAAATGTCTTTAAAGGTTATTATGGTCTTTTTACATTCCATAAGGGCTCTATGGTCATTTAGAGAAATATGGGCTATCACATGGTAGAAATCCATCAGCCGGTTGCCGGATTGGGGTAAAGTCCAACCAAACAACATACTTCAGGAGGGTTTTATGCTACTTTATAAATTCAGGGGGGGTTTTTTACTCATTAAGGTATAGTTGAAGGGGGTTTAATGCACTTTACCCTTTTTTTTTTTTTGGTGTGTGTGTTTTTTTGTTTTTGTCCAGTATTTTTTGAAAAAATGGATAAAAAAATATTTTGTTTTGTACAGTGTCAAAATTCCATGAATTGTGACCAAAAGTGAAAACACCAATTTTGTGTTTTTCCATGTTTCACATTGTAATAAGACTACTGTAGCAATGAACAATATTCAAAAGAAATTATTTTTAAAAAAAAACTCAAAAATAATTTTTTAAAACTTTAAATTTGTTTTAAAAAACTAACCATTATATTTTTTAGACTTTGAAACAATTTTTTTATATTTTTACTTTCAAAAAATTTGTAACAAATAGACATTACCACTTTCAGTTACTATTCAAAACATCACATAACAAAATTTACTATTCAAAGTACATTAAATAATTTTAATATATTCACAGAACATATGTTATTTGAATGACTATCAATAGGATTGCCTTTTTTTTGGGTGATCATTCTCAAAACCGGCCAATGCACTGTCTCTTATTCTATCAGAATCATCCGCCAATTAGAATAGTTAAAGGAGAATGTGCTGTCTGAAATTTACTCACTTATATATTACAAACTTTAGTGTTGTGCGGTTAAATTAAAAGTCATTAAACAAAATTAAAAAAATATAATTGCTTTACGTAAATAGTTTGTAGAATTATTTAGGCTTGGTCAGTCTAACTCATGTACTTGCACACACTAGCATCTCCGCCAATGTTATAATGGCCAATCATTGTTATTTACAAACGATTTTCTCAATTATATATTTATAGACATCTTACCAACTCTTTACAATTTTACACCACCCTTTAAGAACTTTTGCACTCTAAAAATATATACAAATTCTTTCATATTCTAAAATCTTTTGTCTCTCTGAAGCTCTCTCTCTCTACATATTTGGCTAGCTAGTAAATGACAATGACACATTAGTTAATAATAAAAAGTCCCCTGAAACTTCTATTATTTGTGACATGCATTATCAAAGCCAAATAAAGTGATCTATGAACAAAACGATGACAATATAAATATCATATTTTAAGATAAAATAATTATTCAAAAGAACTATTTTCGTTATTTGAGATCAATATTATAAAAAGGTGGGGAGATAAATAGTGAAATAGTAAGTCGTTAGATTTGATTGGATGGGCAAAATGAAGGCAAGCTAATGATATCATTTGTGCCCAACGAATACCAAATAAACTAAAGTAAAATTTTTATAAAACAGTTATTAGGTTGGTAATTAATGTTGTATCGAGTGGATTGTTTGGGCATTGAGAAAGACACAATTGCTAAAACTAGGGATGGCAACGAGGCGGGTTTGGAGCGAGTTTGTCTAAATTCTTATTCCCCCGTTTATTTATTGATAACTCTAGATCCGTCCCATATTCGTAACGGGTAGAATTTTCATAATCCATCCTCACCCGTTGGGAGATGATTATACCCGTGCCCACCTCATTTAGAATTTTATTTATTTATTTATTTTTATTATTTTGGATTTTTTTTTTTTTTTTTTAATATTAAGCAATTTATAGATGTGTAACAGAAAAATAGGTTTCAACCAGAGCTTGAAACAACAGGCAAAAGGCACAAAAAACATTAAAAATGAAAGCCAAATGGCCCAGTGCAAGAAAGTCAGTCCATGCCAATAGGAAGTTAGTGTTTAGGTTAATCTAAGTTATAAGACACATATACACACACACACATATATATATATAATTTTTAAAAAAGAAATATATATATATAAGGCGGGGCGGGTGTTTACCAAAATCCATCCCCGTTTCATGACTCGCGACAGGTTTCAATTTTGCACCCACACCCGCTCCTACGGTATAAAAAGGTTTCCCAGAACCCATAATTAATGGGGCGGGACGAGCCGGAGCTCCTCAAGGCGTGTGGTACAAATTGTCATCCCTAACTAAAACATGCATTGCACTTGGAGGACAAGAATCACTAGAAGAGATAGAGATAAATAATGAACATGTAAGGGAACACCAGATATAATATAAATGATAAAAATAGAAAAAGTAGACTTAAATGATATAGACATATCAAACGTAGGCGGGATGAGGAGTTGTTTGAGTATAAGGTATAATGTATAATATGAAAAAATAATAATAATAATAATTATTATTATTATTATTTATGAGATAAATGGAAAGATGATGATGATGAAATTAATAAATAATCTATGCTATATATATCATTAATATCACAAAATTGTGTTATTATTTTTATCATCTTAGATGTACTTTATTAAGATAATCTTTTGAATTATGTATGTAGCAATATTGCATTTTACTTTTGTATCATGTATTAATATCGCTTTAAATAAAGTGCTTTAATTTTGGATTGAAAAAAAAAAATTGAAGTGCCCTCGAGTCAATCCAAAAGCATTACCACACTTTGGCCAAACTAGCAATTACTACCCTCCACCGCTTTCCAATCAAATCCTACATGCGTTATTGACTTTCAAACACCCTCATGACCCCCTATTTATTTCTGCAACCAACCTCTTCCATTAGAATAATCTCATCACTCTCTGTATCTATCTATCTCCCCTTCAACCTTCCCCATTAATTAATACTCCACTCTACAAACAAAAACCAAGGTCATGAGAGAGAAGAGAATTAATCCTTCTTCATAGAAAGATGAAATTACAAATATAAATGAAAAACAAAGAGGCTGCAGACTGATCAGAAACCACAACCCACACTCCTAAACCTAAAAATACTCCTCTCTCTCTCTCATCTTTCTCTCTCTCTCTCTACACTAACTACCCGTTTGCATTTAGAGCTCTCTGTGTCTTCTCTGATGAAGATTCTAACATAAGCCCCAACATGTTCTCCTTTCAATGCTCTCTCTGCTTCTCTTCCGGGGGAAGTGGCTCGTACTTTGAGTAGCTCACAAGTATTTCAGTTTTAATGCAAAATTGTAAGGAAGGGTATGGGAGTGTACCCTTTTATTTAATTTGATTTCCCTTCTTGTTTATGATTTTACAGGCGATTCCTGTTGTGGGTTTTGCCTATTTTATATATCTGATTCTTTATATATATATATATATATATATATATATATATTATTTATATGAGAGTGATGGCAAGGACTGTTTATATATTAATTGAATATGAAATAAACATACAGGGTAGGTGAGGAGGCCTATAAGAAGAGGAGATGTTATGTCTGCCTTGTGTTTTCATTCAGTCAGTGCCCAAAACAAGAGCAACAAATAGCTAGTTTTGGATTTCATATCATCACCATCATCACTATCATGGCTTCATCAAATAGACATTGGCCTAGTATGTTCAAGTCCAAGCCCTGCAACACTCACCAACACCAATGGCAGCATGACATCAACCCTAATTCTCTCTTGTCAAGTGGGTCATGCCACAGAGCCCCGTATACATCAGGTAAAATCACACAAACACAACTGCACTACTCATCATTTGAAGTCATTTAAGATCCTCACTTCATTTGTTGCTTGTCACCATCTTCTCTGCCATCAACCTAGTCTGAATATGCATGTATAGATGCTAAACACCATGCGATGCACACTTTTGACCACTCATGTTTCACCCATGTTTCAATTTTTTCAGTTTGATACATGCATTATTGGGTATTTCTTAAACTATTAAGATTTTGAGATAATTGGCAGTTTGACTTGGGCATTTCCTTATAACTCAATTGAACTTTTGTGACACAATCATTTCAATTTATTGTCACAAATTGAGACCACATGCGCACACAAAATACACTAAGACACTCAAGAGAGAATTTAATTTTATTTGGCTATCTATGTTTTGATTCAGCAGTTCCTGGATGTGAAGAGAGAGCTCCTGAGCCAAAGCCAAGATGGAACCCTAAACCAGAGCAAATACGCATACTTGAAGCTATCTTCAACTCTGGTATGGTGAATCCACCAAGGGATGAGATAAGGAAGATCAGAGCAAAATTACAGGAGTATGGCCAAGTTGGCGACGCCAATGTATTCTACTGGTTCCAGAACAGAAAATCAAGAAGCAAACACAAGCAACGCCAACTCCAAAACTCAAAATCTCAGCCCCAACCCACCCCTCCTAACACCTCTGTCGCCGCCACAGCTCCGTCGTCGTCCTCCTCTTCTGATAAATCTTCTCCGAAATCAACCCCTGACAAGTCCTACCCTTTGGATTCTGCAAATGTCATGGACCTACTAAATTCTCCGACGCCTTCGGTGAACCAGAATTGTTTTCAGGCTGCCCACGGCGAGTTCTTGCCGGAAGTACCCTTCTTTTATCCAGCGCAACCCTCCACAGGAAGATCAAATTCAACAGTGTTCACTCAAGGGTTTTGCTTTCCGGAAGTAATCCCCAATGTGGTCAATGTCCATGATCATCAGACGGTTGGGACGTGTTCTAGTCTCTTCCTCAGTGAGCTGATGATGAATCATGGACCCTCAAAGGAGGCTGAAGATGTCAAGATCATGAGGCTTCAACAACAGCTGAGTTACACTGTAACTACAGCTCCAACTTCTACTAGTACTCAAACCATTGGTCCACCCAGTACTACTCTCACTATTCCATCTACAATCAATCACTTGCAAGGTACCGTGACAAGATACTATATTTGTTTGCATGTGTATTATGATACAATAAATCTCAGCCTTACATAACAGTGTTTATACTCAAATATTGTCTCTCTCATTGACATGATTGATGAATACAACTATAAGTATATATATACACGTATCATACATAATTGTTCATACATAGTACTGCTACTATTCTCATTCTTATACCATATTATTAATGTTGTATATATATATATATATATGTATGTGTATATAAATGTATCTATGTGTGCATGATTAGACCTAATTAATAGTTAGCAGAAAAAATTGATTTTTATCCTTAGATGGATTGTATAAGGTGAAAACTTTGATTTTATCCTATTCATCTAAGATATATATATAAGTGTGTGTTTGTTGATGGCTACTATTTTTGCTACTTATTAAGAAGAAGACGAGGATATTTTTGTCATTTTACTTTTTGGACGTTTTGCATGGCTTAATCGATGGAGGATGAGACTGATAGAGAGAGAGAGAGAGAGAGAGAGAGTAGAGGTAATGATCTGGTGTCTGCAAGTGCAGGTGTTGGCTATTTGGGTGCAGTGGATCCGGAGAATGCGGCGAAATCGACGGTGTTCATTAATGACGTGGCGTTCGAGGTGGGTGTTGGGGGGTTTAACGTGAGGGAGGCGTTTGGTGACGATGCTGTGCTCATCCACTCCTCTGGCCACCCTGTTCTCACAAACGAGTGGGGTGTCACACTCCAGTCACTCCAGCATGGCTCGTTCTATTACCTCCTGCGCACGTTAACTCCATCACCACTCGACAACACAAATCATCTGGTACGTACGCTTCCCTTCACCTACTCTCTTTTTGTTTCTTTAATTTCACACCGTCCGATCACAACGTAGTCACTTCTGTCGCCTTTGTAAATTGTAAAATTTGTGACAATGTTTAAAACCTGGATGATTTTGTGGATCCCACGTGATAAACCTTGTGAGGAAAGCTATTGTTATGCTAATATCATACGATTTTTTTATTTTAATGTAGATAGTGAGTTTGGGACATGCTTAATTTGTTGTATTACATTCTAACTGATGCTAATCCCCTTACACGTGTGAAATTCTTGCCCTGGCATGTATTAATGTAGGAGTGTTAACAAGAACGAATTTCAACTCACACGTGAGTGTTCAAACATGTAAGGAGTTAGAATTCTTTATACATGGTCTAGCACATATTACAGAGGAGCTCAGTCTCAGCTGGTAGATCGAAAATGTGTATATATTAACTTTAAAGCATTTATTTATTTATTTATTGCATTATGGATGTATTTTGCAGGTCTAGGAAAGGAAAAAGAAGTTGAAGAGAATGGGCTAGCTTGGGATCTCTCTCTCTCTCTAATGAATGTAAAATGAGCCTTATATAATATGAAAACCAATGGACTAATTTAATGTTTTTCAAGTCAAAGGCTCAAAAGCAAAATATGTGGAATGTATGGGCTTTTAGTAATAAATAATTAATATTGCATACATGGTTTGATGCATGCATGCATGTGATCGATGATTGTATTACATTAGGGAAGCATGCTTCCAACTTTTTGCGATATCATCGTCTTAATTTTTATCAGTTTTTGCGATTCATTTATTTATACTTACTTTTTCTTTAAGTAAAGCAATGTAGTTGCACATTTCACTCCCATTTGACTTTGGAAAATAAATCCATCTACTCTTCCCGGGAAAAAAAATAATTTAAAATTTGCATTCTGTATAGTTTCCTTTCAATAATTTTTTTCACTGAGCTAATAAAATAATTTCACTGTAAGCTTATTGATTGAGCTAAAAACATAATTTCAGTTAACCATTCATAATAGAGAAGATTGAACAGAAGAGTAAAATGTGTTCCTAGGCTAATTATTTATCAAAAAGAAAAATGTGTTCATTTGCTTTGCCTTTCAAAAAGAGAAAAATAAAAATAAAAGAAAAATGTGCCTATAAAACATTGGGATTGAAGTTTTTTGGCTCGTCAAAAAATTCTTATTGTATAAGCTATTTTATACTATACGAAATATTAATATGAACAAAACCATTTTATAAGAGAAAAACTTAGCCTACAAAAAACACTACCTAATTATTCAAAACAAAATACCACAAAAAGTTGCATTTATTTACACATTCTTACCTTCCAAATCAGAAGATCCATAGTTCAAGCCTCTTTGAATGTGAGTTTCTTATCATGTAAAATATTAAAAAATCATTCAAAACAAAATGCGTGTAAAACCCAAATCCAAATGGGTAAACTGCCCTAATTATTTCTTAACAAATTAATTATCAATTTGTATTGAATGTGACACTCAACAATGGTCCTTATATCCCAAGGATATAATCTCTCCATTTTCAAAGATGAAGGGTTCTAGTCCGAGCGTGGACGGTCAGTAGCCGCTCCCTCCGATCATTTTTTATTACTTTGAGCTATTAGTAGGCGCTATTTGTTCAAAGAAAAGATACTCATCCTAGTTCATCATAAATAAATAAATAAATAAAAAAATCAACATCATCCTTGACCCAATTTGAAAAGAAGACATCTATCCCTAGATCCTTTTTGTGGTCGCAGGAAGTACAGGCAAGGTCCATACTGTATGTAGCCTACTAAGGTTTCACTAGATACTTTTACCCTATCCATATATACCATCTAGCGAGGGACCCCTCTCTCTCTGTAATCTGCACACACTATACAAAGACTGTATCAGTAGTACTATAATGTATTTATTATATATGTCATTGATTATTTGTAGTACTATTTTTTCACACACCGTTTATAACTCAACATCCTTTTTGCACCAATGAGTAACTTTTGCACCCCATACGGATCCAAAGGATTTGAATGTTTCACCAACATCTGCTCTATATTAATTATGTTTGAGTTTGACGAAGCAACTGCAAATAAATTGCATGTACACATTTTTTATTCGAATTAATTACCTAACTATGGCGTATAATACATGTATACAAGTACTATAATTGTACCTAAAGAGTTTTTGGCCTAATGGTATAATCTTCCCATCTTCAAAGAAGAGGGGAGGGGTTTGAGTCACTGCGTGGGCAAAAAAAGTGTTTGTTTGTTTTACCATCCAGAAAAAAAAAAATACTATAAATGTACACAGACATATATATATATATACTAGGGCGGCTCAATTTAATTTGAGGTCTTGGGCTAAAAATAAAAAATGGTCTTTCACTATTATATAATTTTAATTCTTTTAGATGGCTTGGTTATTCATTTATTGAATTTTCAATTAATTTTTTTTTGTTATTCTTGTAGATGGTTTGGTTGTTCGTTTATTGAATTTTCACCTATTATTTTTTTTCTTATATTTTGATTATTTGTTGTAACAATGTTATCGTAAGCTTCTTTTTTTATTTTTGGGATGGAATTAGTTAATATATTCTTCTCTTCACTTCACTTTTTAGTAGATATATTCAATCATATAAATAAAAGTGGTCACACAAATTACAAACAAAATATATAATTTTATAATAACAAAAATTCAAAAAACTACAAAATAATTTAAAGTAAAGAACAATAAAACCTAATTTATAAAAATTTGGTCTATTGCTCCAAAAAGTTGTTCAAATAAATCTTCACATGGAGTGAGAGAAGAAAAAGTATGTAAAAATTGAAGAGAAAAAAAAGGAAGATAAAAAGTTAGAGGGGAATATGGAAAGTTTTACAATTCCCATAACCATATATATCCAATAAGAATAAAAATTGAATTAGGTCTGCTGTAATTATAATGATGATAATAAAAAACATGGACTGACGTAGTAGAAGAGGAAAAAAGAAAATTGAAATAAGTATTAGAAATTTATTATTGAAAAGAAATAAAAATTTAAGGAAGATTATAATAGACAATATAACAAAAAAATATATTTGGGGCCTGAAATCTTTTTAAAATTGAGATAAGTATAGAAATCTTTTCAAGCATTATTAAATTTCTTTATTGGAAGTAAATAAAGATTTTTAGAAAGATTATTTTTTATAGAAATAAAATATTTTGAAACTTTTTTATTAACTGGATCTTTGACAACCGCCTAACTCGCCTAAGTAGATATATAAAAAAGATGATACATATTCATAATATTCATCATATACAGGAATGGTATTTGATAGGTCATCAGGAATGGTATTTGATAGGTCAACTTAATTGATAGAGTGATGCAGATAATATTTGATAGGTCAACTTAATTGATAGAGTGATGCAGATAATTTACGTGTACACTGATGCCAACAGTGTTGATGATTTGGACCTATCGGTCTGTAAAATTCCTTCTCTCTACGTTACATTCTGCTGCATGAACCGTCACGTATAATAGTAATCATTATAAATCATTGTTACCATGGCCGTCTACATACATAATAATAAAAAAAACCTACAACTTGCGCATTTCATTCCCGAATACTTTTACATAACTTGTGTTCTTACCATGACATGAGAAATGATAACAAAAAACTACTCCTACAATTTATTGTTTGTCACTTTATCCTCCCCATCTCATGTATTTTTGAAAAGAAGCATTGAAATTTAAATTTCACAAAATGGTTATCAGCTCAGGATTTCTCTATTCTTTGTTAACTAGAAATATTGGAACACAAATCTCAATCGGACTACAAGATTGAAAACCAAAAAATGCTCCCCCTATGCTTAATTAGCTTGCTCAAATTTTATTACCCTGGTAATATTACATCTTTCACTTGAGTCAGCATCCAAAAAACAAAGATCACTCTCCCAAATTACATCACTAAGACCAACGGGGCCAGTGCCTAGCGGTACCAGGCCCCTACTTTTCAAAGGAGTAGGGAAGGAGTTCGAACTTCGGTGGAAGCATGTTTGTCTGAGTACCAACTAGTAAAACATAAAAAAAAATTTACATCACCAAGCACAACTCAAGATAAACAACCTACTGAGATAGTATATATTACATGAAGTACAGCAGAGCCAAACAGCAGCTACTCGCAACATCTTTGATAAGTGTTACCTAGTACACTTTGAACACGATCACTATTTAATTGTGCATGAAACAAAAACCAATTAGCTAGTAATGGCTGCAGTTCAGAGACCATTTGCTCTCTAGCTTCCTTTCCAGTGTTGCCATGGCATCTGCCATCACTGACCTATCATGGATTAAAAAAAAACTGTTACGTTGCATATATGATGTGGAAGAAGAATACAGACTACCAAGAATAAAAAGAATATCACAACTGGAATGAAATTGATGATTCAATCAATAACTAGATACTAAAATTGGGACGGAAATCTATTTTCTACCCACTTGGATTCATGATAATGCCACTGCGCCAGAAGAGCAATGAATCACTGCTGTGAATATTGCAACTTTGATGACGACAGAAAAAATAAAGGAACAGGAAACAAGACGAGATGAAGAGAAATTGCCCTGTTATTTAAATTATGCAATACTACTTTACAGTGTCTTGTAAGGGGGAGCGACAGGGTGCAAGAAAAAAGAGAGAGAAAGATAGAGGACTAAACACTAGATTTTGAAACTAAGGCCAACACATTCACATTCAGGTGGTGCTGGATATCTAATCAGGCTTCTCCAACATCAAGGAATTATCAGTCACATAGCACAGATATCGGTTTATTTACAGTAACGTCTCTCCTCTCATTCTCTAAGGCTTGGATGCTGCTCGTTAAGCTCTCCTACTTGTCTGTGTATTAACTTTATTCAGAGACATATGTCCTTGTATAGACTCTTGACTCCATTCAGATTGGAAGATTTATACTGAATGGATTTAAATTCAATTATAGGAGTGCAGTTTAAATTTAGATATGTTTCAAAATAATGCATATATTACGGTTTTTAAATGACAAGGAAAAAGGATTATTTGAAATCCATACCAACTCTATAGTAGAACATATCTTCCAGAACATTAATCTAACATCATCTTAAACCTTTGATACCAACTCTATAGCCAATTTTTTATTTGAACCCAAATACATACATCTCAAATCCATCCATCCAAAGGCACCATCAAGGTTATGAGTTACTGGGAAAATGAAAATTCCTGGTCTAAGTGGCATACCACAGCCCAGACATATGTATGACATAAGTCATAAATTATATGCAATCCTCAAAGAAACTGGTAAGCCAACTTGATCATAAAGCAAGAGACAAAACGCATTCACATCTTCAAATGAACAAACACACAGAATTGACAGGACCAAATGCTGTGACATGTAAATGCAGCTTCAAGCTAATACCAAGAAGTTTGATGCGTGGAAAACGCTTTGGCAATGGCACTTAATGTAAGGTTATAAAGACAGGGTCAGGCATGAGTAATGAAAATGACACTACAATGAGCAAATTGAGAGAGAGATTCACTTCCCCAGGCACAGGCTAAGCACATAACATGACCCAAGTTGACTGGAAAAGAGAACTTGGAGAAGTGAAAACTCAGAAGTTTACTATAGCAGAATACTCATTTCCTTGTAAGAACGACTAGGATCCAAAATATTAAAGGGGGATGCATTTTGTTATTTCTGCCTTGTGGCGAAGCCCATGGAGACTTCTAAAGGCAGCAAACGATTTGCATAGCCTTGAGCCAGCCACCCATATCTGATTGGATTGTACAGTAATCACAAACCCTCTTGAATAGAATTTGCTATCTTGCAGTATATAATGTAATGGACTTGTTGTAATAAGATGGTGCAATTATGTAGGTAGGCCCCTACATTTTCATATATGGACAAAACTTTACTGAGGAATGATTTAGGACAGCGTTAAGACAGGTCTTTTAGGGATGATTATTGTTGGTTTTTTGGGTAAAGCTTAGCGGAGATATTGGGTCTTAAGGTTTGTAAAAGGTGTAAGATGATTATAGTTAAGCGAGAGAAGACCCACGTTTGGGGTTTTCCAGAAAATGTGAAGAGTATTCATGAATAGTACTTTAAGTTGCTATAGTTGAGAGGTTTAAAGAGGTAAGTGAACATGCTAATCAGGGTTTATCGGGCTACAAAACAATCTGGCAAAGCTTGGTGGTGAGTTTCGATTGCCTTAAAGGTGCAAAAAAATCAAAGAGGATGAGAAAATGGGGGGGGGGGGGGGGGGGGGGGGGGGGGGTGTTTGTTTTATAAGATCCATTGCTACAGTTCTTTAGACATCACACTAAGCAACAGACGAATCTTCAAAAAGTATTATTGCTATAATACTTGCTCTGCACTTGTTCTCTGTTAAATTGAAAGCATTACATAGCTATCTATAAAGCATTGATTACTTGATTAGTTACACTTTTGATATGATTCAGATTTCATACTTAGAAACTAAGTTTTAACTACTTATTAAAATCTACAAATAAAAATCAAAACCACAATTTGATCCAAAATACAACCATGGACCACTGTTATAATCCAAATACAGCATATAGAGTAAAGTACCAAAATACCTTGGACTTAGACCTGTAAACGGATCAGATTCAGACCAAATCAAGTTCAATCCAAATCCAATAAGGTTATAGTTTTATCCGACCCAATAACTTGGTGGATTACTTATAGATAAATCCAAATCCAATGTATTATTAATCAGATATCTAATCCGATAACCCGACCTGTTAAGGATGTAATTTTTTGTCAAAAAAATTAAATGACAAAAGGAATTGGCAAACAGTGATGAGAGAGAGAGAGAGGCCTCAGAAGACAAATAAAGCATGAACAAAAATAGAGGAGAAAAATAAGTATTTGACTATAGGGTAAAGCAAAAAATAATAATAATAATAAGGTAAGAAAAAATAGAGAGGGAAGAAGAAAAAAAATATGATAAAAACTATATCTAATAGGATTAGATAATATAGGCTATTGTATATTATATAATGTCAGATCGGATTATTGTCATACCAGATTGACCATAATTCATATTCTGTTTGTTTAGCAAATGGATTATCGGATTCAAGCCGTTAACGGGTTTTGGTTAAATACTTCAATCTATATCCAAATTATCGAATCAGGTCAGTATAAAAAAACTGATCCATTGAGTGGCCTACTTGGACTAAGGAAACATAAAAAAGAACATATATATACAGCAAACTAACTCAACAAACAAACAAAATAACCTAAAACATCGAATGGGATTCGACTAGACTCAAACTCAATTACTAAGCTTCTGGCAGGTCCCACCAAGAAATTAAAGATGAGTTTTTTGTTCTGTTCTTTCATCTCCTTTTCTGTGTGCTTCTTATGGACTGCATCAATGTCCTTATAAATTTATAATTAGCAATTTTTTTTCTTTTTTTGGTGCCCAACTAAATTTATGCCCCTGTAAGTTTATAGGAGTAATAACATTTTGTTGCTCGACAACTAAATTCAGTCAATAATCTTGGTAAGATGAGAAGGTTGGAGTGCCTTCTTGATCGGGGACTAAGTGGCCTTGAGAGGCTCAAAGAGAGGCCTTGAGAATGGTTGAATCCTATTAATTGAACAGCTGTCTACTACTGCTTATGAAGCAATTGGAAGGCCAAACTGGCCACTTGAGCAGGGTCTTGCTCACGCAGCTCACCAAGATCAATTTTCGAAGCATGATCTACTTGGTGTTAGGTATTCAGTATCAGATGTTAATGGCTGCTAGTTATGAAGACAACTTGTTTTTCACCGATAAATGGTTTGGATTTGACAGTTGAAATAAGTTCACGACAGGTCCAACATTAGGCAATGAATGGAGAGTCTCAGAAACATGTCAAATCCGGAAAGAAGAATTATGCATCAGAGCTAATGCATTTCAACAATTCATGGTCAACTGATTTACAAAACAAAATGCCCTATGATACCAGTGGATGCTTCAAGCTGAAATCAGTACCAGGACTTCACAATTTTAGTAAGCGAAGTGTATGCAAGCAACTTTATAGCCACTACCATGTAGGAGAATGAAACATAGAGACGTTAAATTTTAATCCCACCAAACACCCATTAAATGGGAACTAGCTGAATTGGATCCAACTGAACTAAACAATTAGAAATCCAAAATTCAATCAAATTGAAAGAAACAAATATAAGCTACGCAGGTCATCAACAAGTGAACCTTAATCCCCACTTAAAACTTCAATAAAAAGTGAAAATCGCCTCAAATATAAGCTAAACAAGTCATCAGAGCTAATGCATTTTAACTATTCATGGTCAACTGATTTACAAAACAAAATGCCCTGGGATACGAGTGGATGCTTCAAGCTGAAATCAGCCACACGACTTTCCATGGGAATGCAATGAAATGCATAAATTTCATCTCAAACTCAGACAAACAACTTATGCTTGCAACCAGTAGCAGACTACAAACACTTCATGGAAGGAAATTCCGAGAACTTTACTAGCACAAGTGGCTGAATCTCTCAACCAACAGCATGTTGGTTCAGTAAGCAAAGTGTATGCTAGCAAGTTTATAGCCACTACCTTGTAGGAGAAAACAGATGAAACATAGAGACCGTAAATTTTTATCCCACCAAAGACCCATGAAATGGGAAGTGGGAACTAGCTGAATTGGATCCAACTGAACTAAACAATTAGAAATCCAAAATTCAATCAAATTGAAAGAAACAAATGTAAGCTAAGCAAGTCATCAACAAGTTAACCTTAATCCCCACATAAAAAAAGTGAAAATCACCTCGAAAACATTACATAAAGTTCATCAATCCTAAAACCCAGAAACGTGAATTATGCATTAGAATCAACAAGACCACCCCATCATGAATTAAGAATTCACACACGCAAATACATATAAGACTAAGAATATATAAAATTGGAGACTGACCCGCTAATGCAGTCATGATGAGCGAGCTTTATTCGCATTGGCGGTGGAATCATCATCAATAGGAGGAGGAGGAGGAGGTTTGAAGGAGGGAAGAGGATTGGAACCCTTAATGATCCAACCTAGGGCGAAGAAGGAGAGCCCAGCGAGTATGGCGGTGCCCCACGCCTGCGAGTACCACCTGCTGTACTGCCTGATTGCGAACCTCCATTGCTCCCTCAGGGTCGCTGGGTCCGGGTTTGTCGAGTCGGGCGGATTCGGGAAACGGGCCTTGTGACCGGAACTTGGGTTTTGACCAATTTGGCCAGAAACCCTAGAACTTGAAGAAGGAAGAGGGGAAGGAGGGAGGTTCTGAGGGGGTTTAGGATTTTGGCTGTCTGCCATGGTTGGGAGTTTCTGGGATTTTGATTCCTTGCTTAGTGTTGCGGAAATGTAACGAAATAAGTAGATGGATAAACTCTACTCCGTATCCGTAATAATGCTCTAAAAAAACTACACCGCAATAAACTATCATTGTTGTTTGCCACCTGCCTAATGCATTGGATGGCAATTTGGTCCGCCCCACTCTATTTTTTTGTATTTTTGAGGGTCGTTTTATTTATTTAGATCAAGATGATTTGACGTAATAAAAACTCGTGCGAGTGCTGGGGGAGGTCGCCTCGCACCGCCCCACTTCATTTAGATAGGCAAATTACATAAGTACCATTATTTTATTAGTTACTACTATATATTAAGTACCCCATATAATAATATTAAAGTAATAAATGAATTTGATTAAAAAAAAAGTTGCAATGGTGAATAACTGAAGATGGGGATAAAAAAAAAAAAAAATCTATTTTAACAATAAATAAATTATGGTCTTAAACGGGATGGGATGGGTACCCGCGAGGTAAAAATGTTAAACGATTACGGGAATAAGATGAAAAATTCTTCCATTTTTGTGATTTTGGGCTAGGACGGGTGAAATTATTAAACGATTGCGGGGGCGTAAGAGGGTACACCCGCCCCGTTGGAATAATGTAAAAACACAAGCTCCCAAACCACCAGTTCAATTCTTTGCTTCTTGGTGGAACCTTTAGTCTAGATAATTTAGATTTAAGCTTCGAAGTATTTCTTTGGTAATTTTTAATTCTATCTTTTAATATACTAATCTTTTTTCCACCTCTATTATTATTATTATTATTATTGACTCCCTGTTATTACTTTATTTTTATTTTTATTTTCCCTTTTGTCACCTATAATCCCCTCCCAAATACATGCATTCCCTGTGCTTGAACAATGGATGGATAAATTATAAATATTGATCCAAAAAACTTGACAATCACCTAAGAAGTAAGATCTGTTAGGTTGATGGCGAGGATAAATTATGAATATTGATCCAAATCCCGATCCCAAAAATTCCCTAGAGATGACCTCAAGGGAATTCCTAAAAATGAGGGATGGATCCTATCACAAGGTTAAACAGCCTCAAGTTCTTCGCACTCACACACTCGTTACGTGAACGAAGAGCAGAAGAAATACCATATGATATAGGTTTTTTTTTTTAAATCGTTTCTGAAATTTTTTCTAATTCAAACTAGACGCTCATTCACTAGGATGGCCCAAATTAGGCCCATGTGTCATTTAGTTGAACTTGGGCTTTTTTTATTTAGGTAATTGAACTCACAGTGCGATTTGTCAATTTTTATATTTTATTTTTTAATTTTCTTTGGTTTCCTGGTAATACAAAACATAGCAACAAAAACACTGCCAAACCAACCATTCCAAAGCACCACAGTGATGCCGCACAGCCCATTGAATCAAGATGAACATCACTATGAGATTGTATAATCTGTTTGATGACTACCACAACGAATGCAGCCAACTGGGAGAAAATTTTGACAATCACCCGCAATATCTACCACCTTATAGCCCCAAGCTACAAAAAGCTTTAAACCTTCTACGGTTATACCACCAATACACCTTCTGCTAGTTCTGGGTTACCACCAACTGGGCAACACCACAACATATGCAACACTAATAGTTTATTCATGGGGAGGCAGATTGCGAAAACCCCTTTTGCATCCCCAATACAAATATATCCAATGATATTAAAGCCTCGGCTGGTCTCTTCGGCCAGTCTGGTACGCTCAAAAATAATTTTCCTTTACAAAATTATCTGGCTCAGCGAAAAATCTAGTACCACCACATTGTAATACTATATAGAGGCTAAAAACTTGTGATTAAGAGTATTCAAATTCCATTTCTTATATAAGACGCAATAACATGAAAATAGGGGAAATTAGTTTTCATCGTACCAACATGGGAATAATAATAATCCTTGATACAATCCAAATTTTTAACACATACTTCTCATAGGAAGTACTTGTTCCATAGAATAACTTACGGCACCTGTCATGATCATTTGCGAGCTTCTACCTTCTTCTGTTCTTTGGCTGATAAAAATGAAATATATCAGTTTCATTGTCGCAAGTACTGGGATGATAAAAGGCAAAGCAATCAGTACAACTTTCTCAGAATATTACCAGCTTTCTCTTCTTCTCGCTTTTTCGCAGCCTCTGCCCTTTGTTGCCGTATGAGGGCTAAACGCTCTGCAAGATTGATGCACAGTCAACAATGAGATGTTAGTGGATATGATAGTCAATAATGATATATTGATATTAAAAGACGAGGCTTGGTATAATCCATGTCATGAAAGAAATCCAAAAGGATAAAACAGAGGTATAAGGCAGAAAAGTTGGATTATATAAAGCATGATTGTTTTATAGAGAGAGAGCGCTTTCACAGAGCCCGTATTTCTTTACTAAGAAAGGTGTAAGAGAAGTTCCGTGAAAAGTAAAGTTAAAGGTAGATAGGTAGCATCATGCAGGTCAGATATGGTGATATCCAATTTATGCAATACTGCATTAAAACCAGAAACTATAGTTTTCTTTCTCTTTGGTCAATGGTGAGCATCAAGCGAATTGATTATTCATAGAGCTCTGGATCAAATGAAATCTAGGATTTTGCAGAGATATATAGATAGAATTAAATCTCAATGAAATCCTTCAATTTTAACAGTTGACCAACCAAAAATAAAATAACAAAACGGGTCTGTGTCCACAGCTAACTTTTTTTAACAAACTGAAATATAAAAAATATCACCATATATGCAACTTAAATTATTTCAATGCTACAACCAGACACATCAAGTTGTGAATACCATCACCACCTTCAAAACTACCAAAGGGAGAGTAATGATAATAATGATTTTCAAAAAATATGGAGTTAAGACTATACCATCAACATCTCTCAATTCAATTTATTGCTACTGATTCAAAAGGCTACATGATTCAACATTAGTACAGATACAAAACATTCTCAAATTGTTACTAATCCAAAAAATAAAATGGAACATATAGCTGATATAGTATTAATAATAATTATTATTACTACTACTACTACTACTACCACCACTAACACTACCACTACACAACTTCTTCAAGGATTTAGTATCTAGTAAATAAAGATTTACTTTCTTTACAAGTATCTAGATGATTATCAGGGATAGCTGCACAGTCAACAGGTGCCAAGGCACCATCACATGCGTCCTACACATCATAGGAGAACCCCATGCTAATAACACTCACTTGTTTCCAGAAATACTTTTCAATATAAGAAATAATATCATTCTGATGAGTACAGAACACTCGCTCCCACACCATTACGTACAACTTCATTTCCTTTTCTTGACCACCTCTCAGATTCTCTCACCACCACGTAAAAGGAAAGGAGTGGATTCCATTTCAATTATTATAGTAAAATTTTATTTCACCTTCTCACTCCAATTAGAACCATATTTCAAGTAGTCCTTTCAATCTCTCAAGGTGCCTCATTGAACGGGCCAGGTTACGCTCAAAAGAAAATGGGGAACTAATTCATCCACCACATGCCTCTAAAAGTAAGTGGACATCTAAAACCCTACATCTAGTTAGTTTATTTACCAGGGGGGAAAAAGCATCTACTTAGAAAAATATCCCCCAAAGTTGCTGAGGTTTTCTAACCATATCATCATAATCATCTTTGATCAATAACCATATCTCTTTTCATCATGCCCGCCATCCATCTTAACATCTTTATTTCAGCTACATAAATTCATTGTTTCTATTTTAAAATTGTTACATATAAAATAGTAAATTTGGAACTGTTGTAGAATACCCTTTTCACTTACTTGTAATTCCCATATCGCATAAAACTTTACTAATATGTCTTCATTTGTCCAACTTAATCCAATTTTACTATTTTTTTTTTTTTCCTAGTTGAAAAAAAAATGATAATAATTAGTAAAATTAATCCAAATTTACTAATTATATCACTATTTATCTAGCCATCCTTTAGCATTATAAATCCTAAATATAAAAAATGGTTATTTCAAAAAATCCTTTGATTTTAAAGTGTGATCATTACATTATTAGTATTCGATTCTTTATTAAATTTACATTCCACATATTTGATTTTAGTCCTAATTTTTTTAACCTTCTGTTTCTACCGTGCATTCTTCCACATTCCTAATTTTATTGTTAAGTTTTCTTTCAAAAAATCTAATGGCACTACACCATCTACCATCAGCAAACAACATACACCATGGAGTGTCCCCTCGTAAGTCCTTTTTTTATTTCATCTAGAATTACCCCTTAATAGATATGAGCTTAGTACTAATCCTAGGTGTAATCCTTCTTTATAGAAAAATCACCAGCTTCGCAACATATATTACAAAACTAGAACTCTAATATATGTCATATCCTAATTAATCTTTATCATTTACGTAAGAATTTGTTTTCTTTGTATAGTCCACCAATTATATCTCAGCACCCAACCATATGTTGTTCCCTAAATCTACGAAAACCTTACGTAAATCTTTTTGCTTACTCCTATACTTTTCAATTACTAGTCTTATTAAGTAAATAGTCTCCATTGTGATTCTCTATATCATAAATCCAAATTGATTCTTATCAGAACAATAGATTCATTCCTTATCTTTGTTCTACCGTGCTTTCCATAATTTCATTGAATTCTAACCATCTAAGTGTGTTTAAATCATCAACCTTATTCAACGTGTACTTCTAAATCATCATTATGTTGGGTTTCGAATCTCCGCCACTCATTGAATTCTAACCATCCAAGTATGTTTAAATTATCAACCTTATTCAACGTGTACTTCTAAATCATTATTATGTTGGGTTTCCAATCTCCGCCACAGCCAAAGTCATACTGAATTATCTCTGCAAAGGGATCATGTTCCAATAATTAATTCCAGTAATCACTGCATTAGAAGTTAGAAACCATTCTCCCAACTCCAACACCCTTGTTGCCCCTACAGAAAAGTCCATTTTGGTGTTGGTCCCACCAATGTGGGGTGCTGGAATGTGAAGACGGAGACAGACCCAACCTTCAGCATTATTTTACAGAAAGTGAGAGCTCTGATACTTGAACTACATCCTTCCCTATGCTTGTTAGCCCAATTTTTTTATCATTGCACCAAGCCCAGCCTTTTACGGTTTTACCTTCCTGTCCCTATCAAGTTATGTAATAGACTTGTCACAAAAGAATCCAAAATCAACAGGATTTTTATACATTGTGAAATTGGTCACCTATTTCTTTTTAGTTGCAAAATTAGGCCTCCAGATTTCCTTCTCACAAGCTACATCAGCAACCATACACTGACTGAATTTGATACTCAAAGGGCCCGTTTACTAACGCTTTCACTTTCTTACTTTTACGTTCCTCAAAAGTAAAATCATAATTTTACTTTTTTGAGATGAAATAGGAAGTAAAATGATGTTTAATAAGAAGATTTTATTTTTACTAATTTGAAAGTTAAAAACATAAATTAAATTTAATAATTATGATTTTAATTTTACTTTCCTATTATATTTCTCTCTCTAAAAAACAGCGCCTGAAATCTTAGCCGTGCCTTTGCAACCCTCGCGAAGAAGAAGACGCTGAACCAGCACGACGAGATGGATTGAAACGGCGACGACTTCCAATGATATTGTGCTCGGCGACGGCGAGCACCACACATCCGACCACCACCATATCCAACCCCACCACCAAAAATTAACTTCAGCAAACCCATTTCACCCACAACCTTAGCATCTTCACCCATCTTCAAAATCAAGGTAATTGCTTTTCTCCTTCGCTTTTTGAAATTAAGGTAATTGCTTTTCTCATATGGCCTCTGATCGGACGGTACAAAAACGATCGCATCGCAAGAATTTCATGTGTCATCTCCAATTTTGAAACCCCAGTCCATTTCTGGCCTCTACAAGCGGCCTCTTGTTTCTAATCGAGACAATTTCTCAGGCATCGAGACCCACCTGTTTCTCAATACTCTCTACTTCTACATACAGATTGCTCGAATCCAGAAACGCTATGCTCATGAAAAACCCAAGCCCAATGAACAGCTACAACTTCCGCCATGAAAACGCAGACGTTTCGACAACATAATCGTTCATCATCTACTTCTTCGCCAACTCCGATGAGGTTGACTTTCTCGGTGGATTCGTATGCTCTTTCTTCTTCCTGCACATATTCGTGGAGCAATCTCTGTTCCACTTTGGGTGGTGATGGCTTCATTATGGGTCTGTTGATTTTAGAGAGAGAGAGAGAGAGAGAGAGAGAGCGCAATCTGAATGCTACAGTAAAAGGAAGTAATTCCTTGCTACAGTATAGAAAATAGAGAAAGTGAGGATTTCTCACTCTCTCTTGTCTTCACAAAATTAGAAAGTACTTCCTTAAAGTTGAAAAGTAAAAATATTTTACTAAACATGATTTTCACTTTTGATTCCTAATTTAGGAATTGACAGTAGAAATCAGGAATTAATTCCTGTTACTAAACAGGCCCTAAAAGTCACTGTATTTGACACCCACTTTTATTATTTGTGTGGAATTTGACAACACCCTTTATTCGGATCTAAAAGATCCACCCAGTTCCCTGCCTTTAAGTAAAGCAGTGGCTACCAATCAACCTGCAAACCTGACAAAAATCAATCCCTACTCATTCAGTCAATAAAATATTCGCATATCATGATCACTCGAAATATATGCAATTTAGGAAATGCATATATAGGTTAGCTGTATATATCCTCCCATTCAATAAATGTAGACCACATCGCCATTTAAAAGTCCCAAAATTGTAGCCCATTGTAAGACGTCAAAAAGCAGTTAATGCTGAATTTCCCATTATAATCTCTATTATAATGTAAATCATGAATTAAATACAAAACAAAGACCAAGCTGAAGGGGAAAATGGAGCTATAGACAGCAGGTGTGAGGCGTCTAAGGTGCATTCTCAGACGGGAAGTACTATGATACTTCAAGCTTCAAACAAATGTCTACAAAACATTTATACAGGGTGAAATGGAAGAGCAAACGATGTATACCACAAAACAAAATTACTTCCACAATGGAAGTACATTCCAATATACATAATTATTCAAAAATTGTATAGCTCATGAAATCATTACCGTGCAAAATCAGTCCAGTACTTAGAAAACATATGCCGAACATAAACTTTGTTGCCACCAAGCAACAAAAATAACACAATCCTTTAAAGACAAGAATGAAAAATCAATTTCTAATGCCTTACCTAAATCTTTCCTTGCTTGCTCTGTTTTTCCTTGTTCTTGCAGCCTCATATATCTTTCATGAGCTTTCTGTTTCTCTATTTCTTCTCTGTGAACAAATAAAAGAAAACATAAAGATAAGATGAACTCTTCTAAATAAAATAAAATAAACTAAACTGCACAATCTTCTAAAAATTTCAATGAAAAAGGGCCAATAATTAATCTTTAGTGATGTGGTAAAAAAACTTTCCCAGTTCTCTTCATGTGTTTATTTAGACCAAGACTAAAACTTTTAACTCAACCATCGCAGTAAAACAGGAGTCCTGCTATTCCAATCTTCTCAAGCAAATACTTGACCCAAGACCCTCTTACCACTCAAATGGGGCAGCAACCATTCGTACAAGCCCCATGTAATCAACTTGGCAAACCCCACTTGCATGGCCTTTACTGCCATGCAAACTTATGAACTGGCTTCTCCATACCCTGAAAGGACCTCATGTTCAGGGGCAAAATTATGTGAGGACCAAGAGGGGCCATGGCCACCCCAAAAATTTTTAGTTAATTTCAATTTTTTAAACAAGATTTAAGCATATGCCCCCCCACCCAACACCCCCCACAAAAAATATATATATAAATACAATTTGTCTTTTACGTCTTACATTAAGAAGTCCACATTTAAAGGAATGTAAAAAAAATACAAATATAGTTCACATCTCTATTATTTTTCTCATTTTATGCTTACAAAATACTCTAAATAATATATAAATATTCTTATTTAGACCTACTTTCCAAAAATTTAATCTAAAGAAAATATTACATAATAATTTTAGACCTGCTCATGTTCCTCTCTCTATATGCACCACATCAAGAAAATTGGATCTATTAAAGTCTTTCTTCTTCCGTCAACCCAAATTCCTTTCAAGCCAGAGAAACCTCAACACCCAATCAGTCCCAAACGGTTCAAGAGTAAAGACCGGATTTCCCAAGCAACACTATAAAGTACTTGCTCAGATTCAAACTTCCAACTGATTTTCTATGCCACTGCTTTAGAGTGATAAATTAGATCTCAGAGGATGTCACTTGATGAAGCTCCTATTAGGTGCTCGAGTGATTTTCCAAAAAGAGTGGACCCAGATAGTTTAATTCGAGGGGGATGTTAAGGACATCATCATATATGTGAAGACTTTAAGGTGACCAACTAAATGTTTATGAAAAGATCGTTTTCAAGCTACATTGAGAATTTATGGGCACTAGAGGGAAATCAAAACTTAGGGGGCGTCCCTGCCTATGCTACATTATATGTAGTTCAGCTTCTTTCACAAAGTGTCCAAATTATAATTGCAACACAATAAGACTCCTAAATATACTCAAAATAAAGTGAAATAACTAAAAAGCAATCTGTGGGATCAAGACATGCTTTGACACTATCCAACCCAGCAGGTCAGTGAAATTTGTTGCAACGCAAAACTACTTGTCTGAAAAGGTCGAATGGACATGAATAATAACAAAAGAAAAGAGAAAGGGGTGAACATTCTTAAGAGAGTAGAGAGAGAGTATTAAGGGAAAATTACATTACTCAATTCTGCTAAAAACATATTTAGTGCCTTTTTTTCCCTTTTCCTCCACGGCCCATGATAGAGTAATACAAAGTGACAGGAAAAATGGGGGTGAGAGAGAGAGAGAGAGAAAGGGAGGGGGTGTTTCCTGAATGAGTTTCATTGTTTCATCAATAATAAAAATAAAAAAATAAAGTGCAGTTTAAAGAGGGATGCAGTTGCAACACAATAAGACTCCTAAATATACTCAAAATAAAGTGAAATAACCAAAAAGCAATCTGTGGGATCAAGACATGCTTTGACACTATCCAACCCAGCAGGTCAGTGAAATTTGTTGCAACGCAAAACTACTTGTCTGAAAAGGTCGAATGGACATGAATAATAACAAAAGAAAAGAGAAAGGGGTGAACATTCTTAAGAGAGTAGAGAGAGAGTATTAAGGGAAAATTTCATTACTCAATTCTGCTAAAAATGTATTTAGTGCCTTTTTTTTCCTTTTCCTCCACGGCCCGTGATAGAGTAATACAAAGTGACAGGAAAAATGGGGGTGAGAGAGAGAGAGAGAGAGAAAAAGGGAGGGGGGTGTTTCCTGAATGAGTTTCATTTTTTCATCAATAATAAAAATAAAAAAATAAAGTGAAGTTTAAAGAGGGATGCAGGAAGCATTCACGAACCTCTCACGTCTTGAAAGTTCAGTCGTTTTCTCAATCTGCAAAGGAAACCTAATGTTACTGACTATATTTTACAGAAAATTTACTAAAACAATAGATGAACAATCTGTGTGACTCACATCAATATCTCTAGCTTTCAATGTCTTTGGCTTTGCCAAATTAGGATTATCAATCTCAATAATACCTTGGGTGCCTTTCCTCTTCTGTAAACAACATTAATAAAAATAAATAAACTGAATTAAATAAACCGGTTATTCCATATAGCAAGCAAAATATATGAAATCCATCACTAAACAAAATCTAAAAGGAAAAGAAGCTTTTTTATATGGAAATGAGCCAGGTTACTAACTTCATTTTCATCCTGGGACTCCTCTTCAGATTCTTCTTCAGAATTCTCTTCCTCTTCTACTTCAGCTTCTTCCTAATAACAAACTAAATTTAATAAGATGAACATGAAAGTGAAAGCAACTTCAAAAGAAACTAGTATAGCAAAGATGGTTGGATGTCACCACGATTCTGACTTCATCTTGTTATGCCATTAGAAGATAAGAAATACACATCCAGCCATTATAGAATGAGAATCATTGCAACTAAAGATTATGATGGTAAAGCATATTTTTCCTAATATACAATTAGCATGTCAGACACCTGCCAACACAACACTTATTTCCACCCATATGGAACACTTGTTCAAATGCTTAGACAAAACTGACAATTTTGCTATTATTTGTATCAGATAGATTGAATCATCATAGTTCTTTTGCATACATAAACCCAACTACAATTACCATCTAAGTCACAGAAAATTTATTACAAAAATTGACCAATGTAGCTACATATGGTGTTTAGATTTTGGAGAATTATCAAGTCCCAATGCATTTCAGTGTCAAAACCCAGCATTAATTATCAACATAGATATATCGAATCAATTTTAGGCTTCTTGGAAAAAGAATGTGCAAGGTTTTCCCAACCATTAGTGCATTGTGAAGAAGTTCCTAATTTCTCTAACGGCCCCATTGATGTTTATACCTTCCAATGCCATGTCAAGCAGAGGAGAGCTGTTCATTCACATGGGAAATTTCCACACAATTTAGAACAATAATTAGCAAAAGTATGAAAAATCAAGATAAAAACTATACCCGTTTAAATGTGCGAGGTCGAGTTGATGTACCAGCAACTGCAAGCATTTAAATCATAAGGAGGAAAGACATGAAGTCAGTAAATATGTCACCCATCATCCCAAGTGCAAGAAACACTATGAAACTAGATTTTTATCCCGACCCCAGCCACAAAAGATACATATAAAAAAATCAATAACAAAACTACTAACAAAAAAGCAAACCAATATTAAATTGGTGAAAAGATAAAGAACTCAAATGCCATTGAGTAACTAAAACTATAAAAGTACATGCCAGGGGCTCTAAATTTCATGCCATCACATCGACCACCTTCACAAAAAAATAATAATAAGTTAGAAGTGTCTAGTTCTACCATTTACAGCCAATCAAATTTCACTTTAGCCATAAAAATCCCAATTTTCTTTTTGGAACTCATTTAATTCCTGCTTTAAGCTTCACATTGTAGTTCTCCTTTCTTTTTTTACTTTGACAGCAACTTTCTATGTGTAATATTTAGTCCAAGTTCTCACCCTAAGGAGTTAATATTGTTGGAATCTAGGCTTTGCATAGATCACTAAGTCAACAAAATCTAAATGGAAAAAAGAAGTGTTTGGTCAAATGATAGAACAATTTGGATCTAGTTCATGTCTGAGATAACCAAAGGAACAAATAATCCATCTACAAACTGGACATACCATTTAGATGTAAAAAGGAGAGCTGGTTGGTTAAAGGTTAGTGGCTTCTTGAGAGACTAGCATGGTTATTGTGAAGGGCGAACTGCAAAAAAACCCCCTTGACTATCACTCACTTGCAAACAACCCCCCTTTTGAATATGTTTAGCAAGAAACCCCCCTCAATATCTAATTTTTTTGGACAAAATTGCCCTCCTCATCAACAGTTTTTTTTTTTTTTTTTTTTTTTTTCCTACTCTCTCTAACCTCTCAATCTCCTCCATCCCACCATCACTACCACAGCCCACTCCTTCTCTCTCTAATCTCTGTAAAACTCACTCGAAACAGAAAAGAGAAGATCAATTTTTTTGTTTTTTTTTAATCAATGGTCACATCACCATCATCCCCAAAATCAAAAGATCAGACGGTGGAGATGAGATCTTCGACTGCAAACAAGAAGGAATCGAAGAAGGAACAGAGTAATCATCGTGTGATGGAGCCAGAGAAGCCGATGGTGTTCAAGAAATGGCAGCACCCGACGGCTCCGTTCTGCTACGAGTATTTGCAGTTCATATATATATATAGCCATCACACTATGTATGTATCATTTTTGAAAGGGAAGGGTTTGTAAATTTGTATAGATTGGTGTTTACAAATTTGATATATTGATGTATGTACTATTTTTGCCCAGAGATATTTTGTTTTGAATACCCAATCGATTTTGAAAATCTTGATCGTTAAAAACTGTTGGACATGGTACTAATTGGGTCTGGACATCCTCCTTTAGAACAGGATGTAACTAATGAGTGAGATCCAACTACTTCCTGGTTGATCACCCCCCACACAGAAGATTTGATTCTATCGGCAAATAAAGGCCAAAACATGTATATGATTCCTTCCCACATGTTCCGAGAATAGACAATAGCTTAGATGTCACCCACGGCCGAGACTTTTTCTACAACCCATTGGAGTTGCCGAAACAGATGGGTCTGACAGATTGATAAAAAAAAAAATAAAAAATAAAAAATATATTGATCTTCTCTTTTCTGTTTCGAGTGAGTTTTACAGAGAGTAGAGAGAGAAGGTGTGGGTTGTGGTGGCGATGGTTGGATGGAGGAGATTGAGAGATTAGAGAGTAGGGGAAAAAAAAAAACTGCAACAGACACTTGGAAGCTCCTTTGGACTCCTAGAATTTGCAACAGAGTTGCTCACTTCATTGGCAAATGGGCTCTCAGGTCTAAGTGTAGTGATCTTTATTGGGATGTTTGGCCTCCTAGGTTGATACATGTCATTGAGGCTGATTTTTAGTTTTCTGTTTCGTGTCTCTTTTTGTAGCCTGAAGCCAAAATAAAAAATATAAAAAAAACAACTGTTGACGAGGAGGGCAATTTCGTCCAAACAAATTAGATAGAGATAGATGCCAGTTAAAATGCCCCCCTCAATATAGTTGAGGGGGGTTTCTTGCTAAACATATTCAAAAGGGGGGTTGTTTGCAAGTGAGTCAAGGGGGTTTTTTTGCAATTCGCCCTATTGTAAATCGATAACACTACAGGGTAAGAACTAAGGATGTTTTCTGTTCACATTTGACCACTCACCAAGCCCTTTGATTAGGAAAAGAGAAAGGAACAATTAAGAAAACACTGGAACTTCAATCTTCACCCTCATTGGCTTCAAACTGGTCGAATGGGCTTACTCCAACTTCTCTTATCTTTTTCTTTTCTTTTACAGAAAAATAAAAATAAAAAAAGGCTAAACTCCAATTTCAATTTCTGAAGTATGTCCTTCTCTTGAATGCACTTAACAGCATTCGACTTCGACCTCCTACTTGCATGTTGCAGGCAAGTCTGAATAACACAAAATGGGGAAGAAGAGAATTCAGCACCATACAAACCAAAAAGACATCGGTGAAATCTAACCCAAGTGCCCTTACATTATTGAAAGATCCAACATGTGCATTTCACTTACTAGTATAGTTCATATTAATCAATTTATCTGACGAAAATTAATTCACCATTTTGGGGACATTAACCTCTATGTGAGAACTGAAAAGGAAGCAATTGACCTCATAATACTCAATACAATCAATCAACCTATGAGGCTATGACTCCTTTCCTAATTCTGTACTTGTCCACTTTATTAGCCATGCTGGACTGAGCAGGTATAGAAGGAAGCTTGTCTTGCCAAGTTCCAAACAATCAAGACAACAGTCACGCTAATATTCTGTAAATCTAACTGCTGGGACTATCAGTTTTAATTTCCCAATTTGCAACATTGGGAACAGATCCTCTCCAATATAAGTTGGAAAATGATATAAATATCGATTGGTTTTTGTAACCGACTGATGTGGAAAATATAGAGATAAACACTTCAGCTGAGAGGCTTTATTCTTATCCATAACTGACAAAGAGTCTTGTTGGACACTCTTAATTGGAGTCGCACAAAAAAACCAATTGATTTTTGTATCATTACTCCTTTTTTTCTCGGTTTACATTGATTAAATTTGATAATTAAAGTTTCAATTTGTCAGCTAAGCTTATGAAGTTTCATACTTTTCTCAAATTGGAGCAGCCTATATCCTGTGGCTCTTTCAAGATAATGATCATTTTTTTTACAAGTAAGATTTCATTAAAGGTGCTCACGAGGGGAGAGCTCCCAACAGAAAACACAAAACGCCAAAGTCAACAGCTAAAGGTTTAAGCTATCTACAAAAACCAAAAGATCCCCCAAAGATTTATAATTATGCCCGTTAACCCCAAAAAAAGTATACAGTATACTGTATTTGAGAGACCAAATAGGAGTCTCTCTCCCTCAAAGGACCTCTTATTTTTCTCACGCCACAAGCCCCACCATAAACAAATGGGAGTGGCCCTCCAAACATCCCTGGCTCGGCCCTCCACTAGACACCCTTTCCAAGCCTTAATCATATCCATAGTGGTTCTTGGGAACACCCAAGACATGCCAAAAGTAACCAAGAGCATAGACCAAATATCCCTTGCCACCAGGCAATGAAGAGGGAGGTGGTTCATTGTTTCCTCCGACTTCTTGCACATAAAACACCAGTTGACCACAATCTTCACTCTCCTAAGATTGTCGAGGATATTACCGAGCGAAGCACACCAAGCAAAGAAAGCCACCTTCAAGGGAGCTTTTGACCTCCAAATCACCTTCCATGGGAGAGAATCACCAGGGATCACTGTCAAACTGTGGTAAAATACCCTAACCTCAAATACCCCTCTCGGGGTACCCACCCGCACCATCTCATCCATCCCCACACCCTCCACCACCTAACTGTAGACCAAGGCTAAAAACTCTGCAACCTTTGTAAGCTCCCAATCATGAAACTTTCTACGGAACTGCACATCCCAAGTCAACCTCCTGTTATTAAGACGATAACAGTTAGCAACCAGGTCATATCTAGTCGAAGAAATCCTGAAAAGTCGAGGGAAAACACGAGCCAAAACAAAATCCCCACACCAATGGTCCTCCCAAAACCTGACATGACCCTCGCTCCGAACCCTGAATCGCATACATTTAGAAACTCATCCCACCCCTTCCGAATAAGCTTCCAAATGCCCAGGAAATCTCACATCTCTAGACAACCACCCACCATCTCCCTCTCCACACTAGCATACAATGACCCTCCTCCAAAGATGGGACCTCTCGCTCCCACATCTCCAAAGTCGTGGCTTGTTGAACAAATCCAATCTCTGGATGCCCAAACCCCCCTTCAAGATAATGATCTAACCTTCGCTAAGGGTGGTATTTCCATGCCGTGCTGAGTTCGGGCTTGCCTAGGCTGCTTAGGCTGAACCAATTGACAGTTCCAACCAAAAGATTACTTAGCAAAGCCCAAACACAGCCATTTTATTCATGCAACCTTTAATTTCTTTTATAAAGACGGATTTCGAGAAAATTTTATTAAATCATTTTAAACACCTCCGCAAATTTTCATAATCAGACCCCTTTGATAATTCCAGATTAATCTAATCTATGATATATGGAACAAGGATTTCACGGGATGGATACAGAGTCCCCATAAATTCTATTGATGCAAAGAAAGATGTACCAAACCTTAGGTTTAGACAAATATTAGAGCGCACGTAATAAAGGAGAACACCTAATTCAACAAAATAATTTATGTGCTTCTTTCATTATTTGCATAGAATAGTTATTGGATTCCAGAATTTTTCTTTGAAATCCATTAAGTAATTATTTTCTATTTGAAATTCTCCTTAATTTTTTTAATCTTTTGAAACTTCTCTGATCTTTTGGTTGATCTAATCTATAAGGACACATTTATGTACTTTCTACAGCATAAATCGAAAATATATGTAGCCATGGACTGATTATCTGCAAAGAATGAGGAACAAGAAATATTCCTTTGATATTTCATGTCTGGATTACCAACCACAACCATGGTGCTCTATCAAGACGCCACCAACCTTTAACTGACCATCTCATCCAATAACATAAGATTTATCTTACAGAAAGGGTAAATTGGATTTTCCTTAGGTGATCACTTGCCTCAATTATATCCAAACTGTCCGATCATCTGATCCAAACCCTTCTTCTTTATTAAGGATTTATTAAATCTGTAATTTATGCAAAGCAACAGGTATTTCATACACATAAAGATATTCCTAATACCACGCTCACCAGAAGATCTCATTCAGTAATCAAAACTAATTACTTCAATTACTCGAAAAATTCAAATAAAAATAACTCAACCTAGCAACAACAAAAAAAATAAGTATCAAATCAGCTTCAGCAAATTCCGCAAATTCAATCTAAATAACAAATAAATAAAATCAATAGTTCCAATTCACTTCCATTAATTTACATAAAAGCATCCTATTAGGACAATCAATTCATCAAACAAGTGCTATAATCACACGTATATATAAATATAAATATATAGAGAGAGAGAGAAGGGGTGCATACGCATCTCTTCGGGAGTGGAGAATTGGCGTCGACCAGTGGGCTTTCCCTTGAACTTTCCTCTTCCCATGGCTTCGACGCACTGTAAACTCCCGAATCGAGTCCTCTGCTGCTTCTTTCTTATTCAATTTGGGTGTTCTTACGCTCGTCGAAGGGACGACCCTTTTATCTTCTCTGATAATAGATTCCGAAAAAAACCCTACTTGTCGAAAGCCAGCAAAGTTGCGTAGAGTATCGTGGAGATTAAAATTCCCTGTGAGTGCTCGGATACTGCTATAAAGTACCTTACCTTTTATGTTTGGGTCCCACTCTAAAGATTCGTTTTTTACATAAGGTGCCCCCTCATAATATGCGAAAAACTCCTTTGTTAGTTTGTTAATTTTGGTGGCAAAATTATTAAATTAACCTTAATTTATCATTAGTAAAAAAAATACAAAAGTATAAGTATTATAAATCAATATCCCAATATTTAAAACAAAATTGAAATGTAAGTGTCTTGCTATCTTTTACCAAATTCAACCATAACACTTGCAATACATTTAGAAATATAAATATATATATATATATATAAATAAATTTATAGTTGCTAAAAATAAAAAAATCTATAAACCTACATCACTAACTACGCTACATGTCTATCTCACTTATCAATAATAATTATTTTTTAACTACATTTTATCCCACTTATTAATGATTATTGAGAAATTGTGCTTAAAAAGTTAATGGTAAACTAAAAGTTTAGCTCACCTGATGTTAAAAGCCATATGCTTGTTTATTATAAACAACATGATATAATAAAAATATCGACATTAATAAAATAAATTTTTTTTTAAATAATTTTAAAAAAATGTGTTGCTTAAGTTTATGTCCAGCAGAAGAGTAACTATATCAAAATTTAAATTTTGATAGAATTCCTAAATTCATCCGATAACAATTTGTGTCAAAGCAGATTCATTTATTTTATTATTACTATTATTTAATATGTAAATATATTATTAAGAAAGGCTCATTCATTTACAAGAAAATATAATCCATCTATCATTTAGAGAGGAGATACTATTAGCTATAGAGAAATTTTAGAGAGAAAAAATATATATATATATTTAGAGAGATAGACTATGGTGACACACACAAAGTTTGACAATTTTTTAAGCACCTCCAAACAAATACATTAAATGTTCAAATATATACAAAATCAATAGAGGCATTCTTATCACACAAAAATAGTACTTTTGGAATTTTTATAAAAACATGATGTCACCAACTACTCTTTTCTATTCAGTAGGAGGCGAATTACTCAAAAGAGATAATACAAAGAGTTATATGAACTTCATTTTTTTTTTTTTTTTTTTTGTTCTAATAGGGGTGTTTCTTGCACATTTTTTATACAACAAGAGAGGTTTTTTGCACTTAATCCTTTAAATAATATAAACGGTTGCAAATCATTATATAAAAGTCAAGTAAACTTGCACCGATTTTTTCAAAAAAATCGACTTATATATTATTTTTTAATTCAAAAATAAATTTAAGTATCTAACTTTGAAATATTAATTGTAATTTTTTTCAATGTTCGTATTTAAATAATATAAACGGCTAAAAATTGTTATATAAAAGTCAAGTCAGCTTGCACCGATTTTCTCAAACAATTAGCCTAATATATTATATTTTAATTCAAAAAAATAATTTTAAGTATCTAACTTTGAGACATTAATTGCAAATCTTTTCAGTGTTCGAACATTCACTCAATTAAAAGTTTATTATGAAAGTTTATTTTATGTGACATTATGTTAATAACACACTTTAATCAAGGCAGAGTTAGAATTTCAATTCAGGGTATAGTGTAAAAATACAAAAACAAAAAAGTCAGTAGCAGTGAACTTCCATCTTAATCCCTTAAACTATAAGTCAAGAGAATTTAATGCAATTAGTCCAACTTTTTATTTTGATAATGGACAATATAACCGTTAGTATTTTCTTCTAGTGTCGCATGTGCTTGTATATACTTACACACTCAAGGATTAAAAACCTTAGAATGTTTATATTTTTGTCATTAGAAGCTCCCATTCTTAAGGTATCTTACATAAAATAAATTGCACTAAAAAATTCTGAAATGTTCTGTAATTGCACCTGGCTATCCAATTCATTCTCTTTTTATATTAATGAAATTCAATCCAATTCATTTGGAAGGATTTTAAAAAGGGTTAAGTGCAGAAAACCCTTGTAATATAGGTTATGTGCAGAATACATTCCTTCTTTTAAAAAATATGCATTTTAGTTCATAAAATAAAATAATAATAAAAGTACAAATAAATCCCTCTAACCACTTTTTGACAAAAAAATAAATATAAAGCCCAATTTTACCCTTTTTTCCCCATTTTGCCGCTAAAAGAATGTGCATAAACCCTTCCCACCCCTAAAACATGCCGTGCATCATCATTTTGTTTGTTTGTGTCAAAAAAATTATTCATTTGCTCCGAACATACCATCATTTTATTTGTTTGGGTCAAAAAATTAGGGCTTGGATCTTCTAAGTTAAAGTTTATTTAAGTCATTGTAAGTTAAATTCCCTACTAAATGACACGTAACATTAAAAACCTATTTACGGCTTGTGTTAAACCACGTCAACTAATTTAAAGAAATTTTGAAAACTGTACCGTTTTGAAATAAGGAAAATTTATCAAAGTTTAAAAACTGCACTGTTTTAAATTAAAGAAAATTCACCATACTCTGACGAACATTGTTATCTCTCCCTTATTTTTTCCAAAAAAAGATCCTCCCTCTCTCTCCTCTTTATTCTTTGCCACGTTTTTTGGCGCCTAGAAGCTCTGAAAATATTATTCATTTTTTGCCACATTTTTGGACGCCTAGAAGCTCTGGTTCACTCTTTTTTAAAAAAAAATCTAAATTACAAAATTCCTCTATTTAAATGGCATCTAAGAAAAAAGGGACTGTTACATAAAATAAAAAAAAAAGTCCTCTATTTTTTTAAAAAAATGGACGTTACATGGTTTAAATTTTTTTCAGCAAAAAAAAAAAATTAAAAGTCTTAATACAATACGTAGAATGATGACAACACAAATGCATGATATCTTAATATATGTTACTGCTCCAAAATACTGTTTGTAGTGATACTAACCATGCCTATGGTTGAGTTGAATTCTGCTTTAATGGATCCATTACCTTTTTATTGTATTACCCAAATCAAAAATAAAATGATAAAAAAATCTAAAATCTAAAAATTTCGTGCAAACAATCCTTTGGAATAGGGGTTGTGTGAGTACCAACTAGGAAAAAAAATTCTAAAATTTGTTACTATTTAAAAGAGAAATAGAAACGCGACTTTGTTTCAGATATGAATAAAGAGGAGAGAAAGAGAGGATCTTTTTTTTGGAAAAGATGAGGGAGAGATAATAATGTTAAACGTCATTAGAGTATGTTGAATTTTCCTTAATTCAAAATAATACAATTTCTAAACTTTGATAAACTTTCCTTATTTCAAAACGGTGCAATTTTCAAAATTTCTTTAAATTAGTTGACGTGGTTTAACTCTAGTAGTAGATAGGTTTTCAATATTACATGTCATTCGGTAGGGAATTCAACTTACGATAACTTAGAGAATCTTTAACTTAAAGGATCCAAGTCCAAAAAATTATTCATTTACTCTAAATGTGCCATCATTTCATTTACTCCAAACATGCCATCATTTTATTGTTTTGGAAGGAAGGAAAATTAATTTTTGCAAAGTTTTATTATTATTATTATTATTTATGGGAAGGAAAGAAAAGTTAAGGTTATACTATATAGTTTGGAAGTGCTTGGTTTGGATTTCATTATATCTGGTTTTGGGGTTGTTTGGTTTAGCTTATCTCATTCTTGTACAAAACGAGATTTATTTTTTTCTTATCCCAAACAAACAAAATTCTACACAAATTAGACAAAATGGTCATTTTATATGGCATGTATTTATACTTCTTAATTTTTTCTACTTAAATGAGGGTATTATCGTCATTTTAAATCTTCAAGAACTATTTATATCAAATCAATGGTACAAGGGTGTTTTATACTATACAATGACTATTTTGCACCATATCGAAGCTTTTTTTTTGCACTTAACCTCTTACAAAATTCAAAAGGAAAGCTGTGGGAAAAGTTAGGATTACATAGTTTAAGACCCTCAATTCACTTTTCTTTTTTGGTTTATTGAGACTTATTCACCTCTTAAACCCTATGTTTGTTGTGTGCGTGTGTGAAAAAAAAAAAAAAAAAAAAAAAAAAGGACGGGTGCACATGAATGTCAAAGTGCATATCGGACTTACCAGTGTGATAAAAGATATTACAAAATTATCAAAAAAAGAAATTTAGGTCAATGATATAACCTCTTCATCCTCAAAGAGATAGAATTCGAGTTTGAATGCAGACAAAATGTATTCCTGAATATTTACTAGACACAAATATATTAGAAAATCCAATGGAATTAGCAAAAGCTTGCTCCTCCTACTCTATAAATCCTGAGCTTTTGATCTGTGGAGTGGGAGCTTCATTTTTTAGTTTGTCTTAATACTTCCATATTGTTCTGTTTTGTAGTAGTTATTGAATTCCCCAACCGGTGAAAAAAGAAGACGATGTTCAAGCAACAACAATCCTCGACTCTAAGGAATCCCACTCACATGAAATTGAATCCTTAAGCTCTCAGCCTATTGGGGACTAAAATTTTGGAAAAATGAATGGGCTTAAAAAGAAAATATTTTATCATTTGGATATACTTTAAGTCTTTAATTGATAATTGAAAATAAAAAGATATGAAGGTAAGTGAATTCAAGGACTTTCACAATGATAGGTAGATTAGTCTCTCCAAATCCATTGTGATAATTATTTGTACATATAAATAAAGAAAGAAAAGAAGAAGAAAAATTGATGTAAATGTTCAATTGGTTTAAAAACATGTTATTTAACCGTTTCTTTAGGCTTCGTTTGGATACACAGGAGAGAAAAGAAAAGAAATTATTAGGAGAGAAAAGAAAGGAAAGGATAACTATAATTTATATTCATGTTTGGATAGATAAGACAGAAAAGAAATAAAAGCATAATATTCTTGTTTGGATAAAATAGAGGAGATAAGAAATAAAAAAAAGATAATAATCAAATTACTGTATTACTCTTTTGTATCTAATGTAAATAAAATAGCTTGTTTTCAAAGCTTGAATTACTTATAATTTGGAAAGCTTGAATTACTCTTTTGAATTACTTGTATCATATAAAATCCTTATAATTTAGTGGCCTTCCATCCCCGAAGTCGTTGCTTCAACTTCAAGCTGAGCGAATTTTGTGTGTTCAAAAATTAGCAGCTCAGTCTGTAAATGATGGTGAGCTTCATCTTGCAGTTTCTGTGAGTTCATACCACATTAAATTTGCTATCATATCTTAATTATTGGGTTATATGCAGGTTCAGCTGGTTTGGTGCCGATACATTGGTACATAATGACTAGCCCATTTACTGATGATGCCACAAGTTTTTTAAAAGTCATAAATATTTTGGCCTTGAAGCTTATCAAGTAAGATATATATATATATATATATATATATATATATATATATATATTTATTTATTTATTTATTTATTTATTTATTTTTATTTAGTTCTTGATTTTGGGGTAGCTCATCTGTGAATACATTTTTAAAGCAGGTCACCTTCTTTCAGCATAGCACCATACCTTGTGTTTCAAAAGATGGTAGATTTGTCATGGAGACTCCATACAAAGTAGGGTTTGTTCTTATAATTCATGATTAATTTCGTTGTATGGTTGGCTATAAATGTCTACATTCGCATTCATCTTAGGAGTCTTTATCCTCAAAAACATATTCTTATGTAAGACATGCTGAACCTGTGCTTTTGAAAATTGTGGTAATATTTATATTCCACTTGGTTATTACCATTTTAGCTAGCATTCGGAATTTGATATATTGGCCAACAGCCTACTACTAAAGCTTTTGCATAATCATTTGGGTGAAAGATTTTATATGCTGAATTTGAGAGGGGTAGCACATGCTAGGAAAATCTGTTGTTAGTTTTGGCATTTAATAAACCCCTTTTGTAGTGAGAGGTAATTAAGAAGATTATAGTTTCCATTGCTAAATATGCTTTGGAACTTTCAGAAACCATCTGTAATCTTATGGAAATCAGAGGCAATTTGCACCCAGATTATGACAAATATAGAATACTTACTACGGAATGATTAAAAGTCAATAATATCTATTTTAATTCAAAGAGTATACTCAAGACAACAAAAGCAACTAGTAACATTAGAGATTTCTTGAGTTCTATACGCCGATAGTTTGGGTAATAGATGTCATCTACTAACAGTTTAGTAGTAGATGGAAACAATTTTGAACTCTTCTCTTACAAAAGCAGCAAATTTTATTTTTCTTCTTGCTTTTTTTGTTTGCTTTGCTTTTGCTTATGTTTATGTTTTTCTGCACACACACAGTGAGAGAGAGAGAGATTAACAAACCAAGTGGTGGTAAGAATGAGTCATGGTTAAAACCTTGATTTCTGTTATGACTATAAGTTCGGTATTTCCTGCACAACCAAGCCGAAGATCGAAGCGACGGACGCGAGAGAAGAGGAGATAGAGAAGCGGCGATTCTGATTTGCAGACGCGAGAGAAGAGGAGATAGAGAAGCTGCGTAATATTATTGACCTAGGACTTGAATGTAATATAAATTTTATGTATAGAATTTTGAAGGCTATTTTGTCTTTAATGAATATTTTACTTAAATTATTTCCTTTCTCCTCAAACCTTTTCAAAATTGGAAGGGTTTAGTTGGAGGGATTTGAAAGGGTAGGTTCTCCCACCAAATCCTTTCCAATCTTTTTTTTTTCTCTTCTATTCTTTTCATCCAAACACACTTAATACTATTATTTCTTTTCTTTTCTCTCCAAATCCCTCTAAGTAATGACAAGTCAATGATAACTATAGATACATACACCCAATTAATTAATGGAGTTGATATTGGCACTCCACCATTATCCTCGGGCACTCCATTCCTTTTCTCTCCTAAGATGAAATTACAAAAGAGTCTATAAACTATACAATATTCAATTCTTATAATTTTAAATTCCAATTCTAACCTAAATTCCTTCAAATTCCCTCCCTTCATCTCTTCAAACGCAAAAATGAAAGATTTCCTAATGATGACAAGGAAATCTCATTATTGTATTTTTTTTTTTTTTAATTTTATTCTACTTCCTTCTTTAGAACCTATATCTTGAGTTGGTTTTGAACATTTTATGTATTATTGTTGAATTAGATCAATGTAGAGCATCTTACAAATATTGGATCAATCTATCAATATTTACTTTAAAATTGAATTTTATCCTTAGATTCTATGGGAAAAATAATAAATACAATCCTTGATGAGACTGGAAAAATTCTGTAAATGTCATTGTTATTCTTCTATACTTCCTTGAAAAAGGTATTCAACCAGTACTTCTATTCTTACTAGTCCTTTTTTTCTTTGCTTGCCCTTTTTCTTTGTCAGCATAGGTCTAGGCTGCGTTACATAATCCCAGAAGAAACATTACCCTTGAGAAGTTCAAGACTTTCCAATGTTTGGAGAATTTTCCTTACAAAGAACGTGAAAATCAAAGATCGGGGAGAAAATTATTATTAAATAAAATTGAAAAAGTTTAAGATTCTATATAAAAGTATTTTATTAGAATAAGAAGTATTCTAATTGGACATAATTTTTTATTTAAATGAATAAAATTTATCGCATTTTAGAAAGAAAAAAAAAAAACAATTAATTAAATTGAAAATCAAAATATATGTTAAAATATCAAAATAAAAATATAAAGTTTTAAAAAAAGGTGATGAATCCTAAGATTCAAGATGGGATAGAACATGAGAAAAGACTCAAATGAATTAAATTGGAAGAGTTTTCACTTTATATAAAGAGTAACTATGTCATTAAAAATATAAGAATTAAACACTGAATAAGATAGCTAGGGACCTCTTTTATAATTTAATTTTAAAAAGAAAAAAGGAAAAAAAAAAAAAACTTTAGGATAACAGTAGACCCTTAATTAATTTTGTTGATAACTACTTGCAACCACCCAATTAATTAATTTTGCTGCATTAGTTATCAATAATGTCCAATTTTATCTCTTGTCCTAGACTGCAGTTTTTCCACCTTGAAATTTAATTGTTGTCCATGATTGCAAAACTTTGCCAACGGTTTCTTTTAACTTTCCATTAAGGTGAATTGACTGATCTAACATATATTCAAACCACTTATGTCCCCAAAATTGAACAACCATGATTCCAAATGAAAGATCTAGCTTTAGCCACTGGATTTTTTAGTTGGTTTTCCTACTAGTGAATGCAATTATTTTATATATATATATATATATATATATGTTCTAATTTTTAACCAACCAGTGTGACTCTTATTTGGATGTTTTGAATACTCATTTTCATACCTTTGAAGATATGTAAGGAAAGAAGTTACTTGACTGCATATAAAACTTCTATAATACAAGAAAGTATACAATACAACACACTTTTATTGTTGCGAGTATAAGGAGGATTAGATTTAAGTAGTTTTACCTTCGCAACGGTTGCATCAACGCCCGCCCTCCGAAAGTCGAAGTATCAAATTGAATTATTAATATTCCAAAAGACCATGCAATTTCTGAATAAAACTATCCATATAAGAGCTCTCAAGCCCCTTGCTTAACAAGAACTCCTTCCATTTAGCATGATTAACCATTACCTCCTTCCCCACTTCACCATCAACCTCCATTACCAACCTTATTGCCTTGCACACACCCTCCCTAGTAAAATTACCATCCTCTTCACCCTTCTCAACCTCCACTCCAACTTTCAAATCCCCACCCATCAATCTTGCATTGATAATTTGATCACCCACATGTGGCATTAGCACTAATTGGCAATCATTCACCATAGCTTCCGACAACGAACCCGAACCACAGTGGGTCACAAAGCACCCCACTGAAGGGTGTCCCAATATCAACTGTTGCTGAACCCAACCTCCATGAACCACTCCTCTCTCTTCAGTCCGCCTCTGAAACCCTTCGGGCAAAGCCAATTCAATCGTTTGAGCCCCGACAGGGGGTTTCAGGGCAGCAAAAAAGGGCATACCTGTCAACTCCAAACCCAAAACCAGTTCTTGAAACTGATCGCTTTTAAGCACACACTCACTTCCAAATGCACAGAAAATGACAGTTTTAGCTTTGAAATTGTCCAGCCACTTTGCCCATTGCTCTTCTAGGGTTGAAGTTGGCTGCTCTGGCACAACCGGCCCGGCCAATATCACCGGCTTCTTGAACTGGTTTTCAAGGTAATCACTGTAAGGACCTTCAATCTCATTACAACTTTTAAAACAAATGGCATCACATTCAGTAAATGAGGTTAAAAGACGTTGTGAGAAGGACACGCCTGTACCATACTCCTTTACAGATGCATTGCTTAGTTCACGAGCTTCGTGGGCACTTAGCTTGATAGATGAAAGTGGAAAACCAAGTGGAGGCTCCATTAAATCAGCTGGATTCAAATGTTTTTCACTTAGTCTTCGTGCCGGGCTTAACAGGTAACCAATAGTTGCAGGGCTTATGATGCAATAATGTATGCACTTAATGCCTAAAGGGCGAGCCAATGCTGGCAACCAATGAGCAAAATCAAAGAAAACAAAATTAGGTTTGAGGTCTTTAAGAAAAGCTTCAATGGTGGGTTTTGTGAGATCCATGGCTGTCATGATTAGAGACTGCATGGAATATGGGACATCTGCAGTTGTTTCAGCGCCGGGAGGGAGGCCATCCACGTGTGGAACATTGACAGAGATGAAGTTGATGAGGTCTGGATGGAGATTGAAATGCTCTAATTTAGGTTGTGTATTGTTGGGTATGAAGAAAGAGATTTTGTAGCCTCTCTCGGCAAGTTTGTTGGAGATATGAAGATGGGCAGTGAGGTGACCCAAGGCAAACCATGGGTACATAACTATGTGAAAGGCTTTGTTTCCCATGTATGAATGGTGCGTGCGCGCAACGATCCTTTTACAAAGTGCACACTCCTTTGCAAGTTACTGTAATTTCAAAAGGGGAAGATCCTGCAATTCATACATCACTCATCACAAAAAGCACTGCCTTATTTAAATGATTGGAACCATTTACAAAACATGCTTAAATTAAGAAAGGGCATTTAAAATTAACTTATACATAGCATATGAAAAACTATATATATATATATATACACACACACTTGTACATTCATAACTCCAACGAAAAGCTCAAACTATAGCAAGTGTTGATATTTGGCCAAATCCTGCATACATATTGGAACCACTTAAAAATGCCATCCATTTTGCACAAAAATGGCCAAAAGAATCCCCAACTAAGTAAAAATTAAGGATATGCTTAGTTTGTCGCTCATAAAACAGTCAACAACTTATAAATAAAGAAATTATTTTCAAAAAACTATAAAAGACAATTTTTTGAAAACATATATCTTTTTCTTAACTGAGTTTTCCTATGTGTCTAAGATTATCATGGATATTAGATTGAAAGTGTGTTGCTATCTTGTCAAGGCAATTTTAGGGATCAATTTTAAGAGAAACTGGAACATTCTTCAGTTTAAGGGATCAATTTTAGTTTCTACTTTCTAGATTCCTCTGTTCCTCAACATCAAAATTGATATATATATATATATATATATATATATATATATATATATATATATGTATCTACAGATTACACACTACACACATACATATCCCTGTCCCTAAATCTGCAGAATAATGAAACAAGAGAGTGGAGAGGAGAGTGCATACCTTTACCGTGTAATTTGGAAGACTTGGCTTTTGAGAGAGGTCTACTAATTTTTAAAACGGAGAGAGTAGCAGTAATGATGCCGGACACTACATTTTGTAGTTCAGACTGCCTTCCTCACATATTAATAGTCTTACTTTCAGAGTAAACTTTTTTTTCTCACATATTAATAGCCTCTCATAAACACATTTATCTTACTTGTGACTTTTTTTAATGGAACAATTATTTTTAGAAAAGTCAAAAAGAAAAGGCCGACTACTATCTTTTAAAAATGAGGGACGTGTATCCCTTAATAGACACAAAACAAACCTACCAAGTTATAAAAAATGTCATGAAAAAACCCATGATTGCAACTGTTTGCTAACTGTTTGATGAAATAGATATGGTGTGTCATAATTGTCATTTGTCTGTTGTAAATAAGTGCACGGAAATTAAATTGACGTGTCAAAGTGGTGGCCCACTTTTGAAGTTCTGAAGAGAGAAATAGTAGGACACATTGCAAATCTCGGTCAATTACATGTCAGAAAAAATAAATAAAACTCTCACATCTCTATGTCATTTATTGATGTGTCACAAGTTTATTATTATTATTATTTATTTTTTTTGGGCATAAAAATAGAGATTTGTTAGTCCATTGGACTCGCTGAAAAGTGGGTTAGCAATTTTGGGTCGCCAACAACGGCGACCCTGTTAGTAAATCAGAATTTTGAAAGTGGAATGAAAATTTAGTTTAATTTAAGAAGAAAATAATAATTTCAAGACTCCAAAAAAGAACTAATTTTTTTTAATTTCAATATCAATACTCTAATTTGGTTCTCCCAAACATAGCTTTAAGGTATATGTGTGTGTGTGTATTTGGACGTAAGGTATATGTATATTCAGCCAATGCTCAAATGTTGTAAAATTCAATTCTGTATGGTAGTTTTATGATTTTTTATGAGGGGCTAGGATCCCACATGCTAATAAGAGTCATTAATTATATAGTGGGGCAAAAATTATTATTGAAACTGAAAGATTTAAAAAATTACAGATATTTGTACAAATTTTGATTATATAATTATTGTTGATTTGGACAATTGATGGCTGATATTAAAAATCAAAGCATATCTAGTTTCATGGAAACCATATACGGTGCGTGGCATACACTTACCTTTTTTTTTAGTGAAATGCAGTCCTTTTAACTGAAAGCTCTGCCCGAACAAAGTAGCACCCATAGGAATCCAATTTCAATTCAACTCGCTCATTTGTCACCTCTATAACCATGTATTGTTAAGAAGTGAAATTTTTTGAATTTTTAATTACGGTATTTTGCTTGAGATTATAAGTGCAAAGGTATACATTGCCCTAATTTTTGTTGATCTATCCACTGCAGAACTTTAGCCATTGTTGATCTCAATTATCAAAACTTTAGTCACGTAAAGAAAATCAATAAATCAACTAGTCTAAACCTGAAAATATAAACAGAGAAATAAATAAATCTAATTAACAAATAATTTAATAAATAAAAAACCACATTATTAATCAATAGGATTATACGAATACCGTGTGTGTGGTGAAAAACTAATACAATTGGTATTTAAAAAAAAAATCTAATTAAAGAATTAATACATAATTTAAACATTGAAAAAAGAGAAAAATCATTCATGTACTAATTCATGGACAGTTACATTATAACAATTCCAAAATATATCTACTATAATAAAATAAAAATACCAATCAATTCATGATTTTCTTTTTAAAAAAAAAAACCTATTATGTATCAATGTATTCAACCAAGAGACGAAAAATTCAAGAGAAAGCAAAAATATTTGTTCTTAAAAATGATAGAGAGATTATATATATAAATACACATATGTATGTATAAAAATATTATATGTATTTTAATTATCGGAAGAAAAAAATATATTATATGTATTTTAACGATTATTTGTTAGTGAGAGCCTTATTTGAGAATGAAGGACTTCCATTGCCTCATCAGTGTTTGGAGGGTGGAAGGTGAACTCTGGATTATTTCCAAGTCCGTAGGGTGGAAACTTCAATCAGGTGAGAAAAATTATAATAAAAGAAAAATACCAATCAATTTATGAATTTCTAAAAAGACCTATTATGGGAGATGAAAAATTGTTATTGAGTGAAATAATATTATAGGAATGCATACACGTGTGTTTTTATTGAGAGCCTTACTCTCAATAACAATTTCAATTTTAATTAATTATTAGCAATAATGACAAACAATCATATAAATTGTATTAAACAATGAAATTGTTAAGCTTTTCAATTTCTTGCTTTAAAAGCAAAACATATCATTAGATTTAAAAATTAAAAAAAAAAAATGTTAAGAAATTCAAAAAATAACCAACTAGTCCTTAAAAATGTGAGAGAGAGAGAGAAAGGGACGTTGTAACTAATGGGTAATTTTAAGAGGTGAAAGAATTTTAATTAATTATTAGACAATAATGACAAAAAAAATTATATAAATTATATTAAACAATCATCATAGAAATTGTTAAGCATTTCAATTTCTTGCTTTAAAAGCAATCAATATCATTAGATTTAAAAATTAGAAAAAATGTTAAGAAATTCAAAAAATTGCTTACACTGTTAGAATGGTAAAGATATAGGTATAAATTTTGATACATTTTTTATGGGTAAAGTACAAGAAACAATATAGGTTTTGTGCACAATGCCTCCCTCCATTTTTAAACACAAGCATTGTTAGTTCCTATTTTTTAAAAAGGTGCATTTCAGTCTATATTTTTCAAAAAATGTTCAAATAACCCCATCTAACCACTTTTTGACAAAAAAATAAATCTGAAAATCCAATTTTGACCTTTTTTTTCTTTCCATAATGTGTATTTATATAATACTTAAAAAACATGAAAATCAAATTAAACATTACAATTTATGGAGAAAAAATTAAACATTATACACCTTTAAGCTCCGACGTAAAATATTTTCTTTTTTCAGGTAAAATATTTTCTTTTATTTTTATTTTTTAGTGTCTGGCAAGGGTCTAGGTGGAGTCCATCCGGTGAAGCATGTAAAATAACTTAGCGAAAATTGATGAATAGGTTATTTTTGTTAGATTTTTTTTTTTTTCGTAAATATTTTACAACAACCAAACACCAGAATAAATATATATATATTACATTCAAACAACCACAAACTGAAAAAAAATAATAATAATAATAAACATTACACAAAATAATGGTAAAATGAAATGCAATTGCTCTTTTCTACATAGTGTCTGTGTGTGCATAAATCATTGCGATAATAGTGGTGGATGAGACATTTGAATAGGGAAAAATTGAACCTATAAAAGTTGTGTCCCATGCTTTTAACAAAGGATCATGTAATATCATTGTAGTAATAAATGTGGGCAAGTGTTTAGGGTTAGAAAATGCAAATTTTTTTTTTTTTCCATTTATGATTTAATGACTAATAGCATAGTAAAGTTATTGTTTGGCTAGATTAATGGATATCACAGTGCCAGCATCATAAGGAAAATATATGGGCAAGGATTTGTGTCCTTAGTTTAGTCATTTGACCTTACCTGCATGTTTTAATATTATTGTATTCTTCTGGCAAAAGAACTTTAGAGTAGCTATTTAGAGGGGTATTTGTACCAAATTAAAATTGTAAGAGGGTTTTAAACTACGTTGAGACTTTTTTGCACTATATTTATACTATTGAATATTTTTTTTTTTTTGCACTTTACCCTTTTATTATTGAATTGTTATACAAATAAAAACTCAGATTTTTAATATAAAATTTTCATTTAGGACGATTTAAAAGTTGTAAGGTTCATTTATTAGAGCCAGAATTTTTGTTGGTAAGACAAATTAACAACTAATGTCAAAACAGGACTTGGACACATGATTTTATATACCTTGTAACCAATCAGTAAAACCAGCATAACCTAAATAACAAAATTCAGTTCCAAAGAAGACTAGCATGCTTCTGTAGATGCTCATCAAATTCTCCCACCCAACCCAAATCTCTTGTTTATTTATTTATTTATTTATTTTACACAAATAAAGGAAAAACGGACTACAAGCCACTACGTACAACTATCAACAAACAGAGCTTCCCTTACACAACTGGGAAGAGTACTCCAATAAGGATTAGAGGTTCTAGCCTGAAGAGCCAACCTCATTGCATTTTCTAGGAAACCAAATCATATAAATATATATATATATATATATATATATATATATAGTGAAATATCAAACTGACTCATTAATATTCCAAAAGACCATGCAATTTTTGAATAAAACTATCAATATAAGAGCTCTCAAGCCCCTCGCTTAATAAGAAGTCCTTCCATTTTGCATGGTTAGCCATTACCTCCTTCCCTACTTCACCATCAACATTCATTATCAACCTTATTGCCTTGCACACACCCTCCCTAGTAAAATTACCATCCTCTTCACCCTTCTCAACCTCCACTCCAACTTTCAAATCCCCACCCATCAATCTTGCATTGATGATTTGATCACCCACATGTGGTATTAGCACCAACTGGCAATCATTCACCATAGCTTCCGACAACGAACCCGAACCGCAGTGGGTCACAAAGCAGCCCACTGAAGGGTGTCCCAATATCAGCTGTTGCTGAACCCAACCACCATGAACCACTCCTCTCTCTTCAGTCCTCCTCTGAAACCCTTCAGGCAAAGCCGATTCAATCGTTTCAGTGCCCACAGGTGTTTTTAGGGCAGCGAAAAAGGGCATACCTGTTAGCTCCAAACCAACAACCAGTTCTTGAAACTCATCCTTTTTAAGCATACACTCACTTCCAAATGTACAGAAAATGACAGTCTTAGCTTTGAAATTGTCCAGCCACTTTGCCCATTGCTCTTCTAGGGTTGAAGTTGGCTGCTCTGGCACAACTGGCCCAGCTAGTATCACCGGCTTCTTGAACTGCTTTTCAAGGTAATCACTGTAAGGACCTTCAATCTCATTACAACTTTTAAAACTAATGGCATCACATTCAGTGAACGAGGTTAAAAGACGTTGTGTGAAGGACACACCTATACCATACTCTTTTACAGTTGCATTGCTTAGTTCACGAGCTTCGTGGGCACTTACCTTGATAGATGAAAGTGGAAAACCAAGCGGAGGCTCCATTAAATCAGCTGGATTCAAATGTTTGTCACAGAGTCTTCGTGCTGGGCTTAACAAGTAACCAACAGTTGCAGGGCTTATGGTGCAATAATGTATGCACTTTATGCCCAAAGGGCGAGCCAAGGCCGGTAACCAATGAGTAAAATCAAAGAAAACAAAGTTAGGTTTGAGGTCTTCAAGACAAGCTTGAATGATGGGTTTTGTGAGATCCATGGCGGTCATGACTAGAGAATGCAATGGATATGGAACATCTGCGGTGGTTTCAGTGCCGGGAGGGAGGCCGTCAACGTGTGGGACATTGACAGAGATGAAGTTGATGAGGTCTGAATGGAGATTGAAATGCTCCACCTTGGGCTGTGTATTGCTGGGTATGATGAAAGAGATTTTGTGGCCTCTCTCAGCAAGTTTGTTGGAGATATGAAGATAGGAAGTGAGGTGGCCCATGGCAAACCACGGGTACATAGCTATGTGAAAGGTTTTGTTTTCCATGTATGAATATGTGTGTGTTTGTGTGTGCAGTGATCCTTTTACAAAGGGTACACTCCTTTGCAAGTTACTGTAATTCCAAAAGGAGAAGATCCTGCAATTCATACATCACCGATCACAAAAAGTGGAGATTGCATCATCAAACGATGAAAGTGGATCATTATAGGTGATTTTCAACTGGTCATCCAATCTCCACCCTTAATAAAGTACGACACTCTCATCCTTGCTCCCAACAAAATGGACAAACTATAGCCAAGTGTTGATACTTGGCCAAATCCTCCCCTACATAATAGTACGTCCCATCAATTTTACACAAAAATGGCCAAAAGAATCCCAAAATTACATTGAAATTAATGTTCTTCATTTACAGAATATGCAAGAACATTTACAGAATATGCAAGAACAATGAAAGGACCTCATGAGCAACCATGAAAAGAAATGAACTCTCTCAAATTGAGATGAAAATTCCACATTCTTAATTAATCATTGTTCCTCCACATCAATATAACATATGTAAGCGCGCATATTATACACACACATAAAAATCACTGTTCCTAAATATGCAGAATTATGAAACCAGAGAATGGAGAGTGCATATATATATTACCTTTACCGTGTAACTTGGAAGGCCTCGGCTTTTGAGAGGGGTCTCCTAGTTTTTTAGAACGGAGCAACAATGATGCTGATCAACCATAAAAACATACAATTTATTTCCCCTTTTTTAGTAGGTTATATATAGAAAAGTTGGAGGGAAGTTGGGGAACTGTTGCTTATTTAAATTGTTTTGGTAGGTAATTCTTTCTTTCTTTTTTTCTATAATAAGTAGGTAATATTCTGTTGCTTCACAAATAAAGAATAATGAGATCTAACCGAGCAAGGAATGATAACATCATCATACATTAAAATACTTATCATTATTCATTTCTTAAACAAAACTATAACCAAAATGATTCTTCAGCAGTTTTCTCTAACCGAATGGTTTCTTGCATCAGTTCTCTAGTAAAAAATACATGCCTTTGATTTATTTATTTTTGTTTCACAATAAACACGAAAGTCTCATTTGCCCCTCACTTCTTAATGTCTCAAGTAAAACCTTAATAGCAAATGATAAGAGGAATGCTGTGATGAAACAGAAAACATCACAACTCTTAACAGCAGATAAATAGCGAACATGTATACTTTGATCATTGATGGCCATACAAATAAGTCTACACGAGCATTTTACATACCCAACAACTAGAAATTGCAAATTGCTGCTAATATATATATATATGTATATCATAACCAGTGTTTCTCTATATAATTAGTATCATAGTCTTAAATTCCAAATGAGATTTGGAGGATGTCACATGTATATTATTGCATTCACCATTCCTAGTCTGTTTTAGTGTGTTCATCATATAGAACAACGGGTCAGCAAAAAAATTGTAAAGGTAGCCACTTGTAAACCATCATCCACCGGTTAGAATATGCTCACTTATCTCAGTCCGATTTCGGCACTGTGCCTCCAGGGAACAAAGAAAAATGCATCATGTCCTCATGTGACCAAGAAACATCAGATTGATGAGAGACAGAAGACTGAATGATATGATAGAGAAGAAAAGAAAGAGAGACTCAACTGCTATAGCAAAACCATTTGGCTGGACCAACAAAAAGTGCTGCTTATTCCATATGCATCCAAGTTTCTTCAACTACGTCAAGTAATAGCCACTCGGATTGTCGACAAGGTAATCATATGGTGCACCAATTCCATAATCAAAACCTTCACTTGTAGGTGCCATTTGCTTTGGAGCAGAATAGACATTTCCAACACCATCCCTCAAATTACCTTTTGTCCTCCCCTTGAGGGAGGGCTTTCTGTCCAAGGGAAACTCAGCAGTAAGCCTTCTCATCTGCTTCTGCAGATCAACAACTGAATCGTTTGTAATTTTTCCTTTTGGACTCTTCTTCCCATCAACCAGCTTAAATTCCAACCTATACAAGGCACAAACATCACACTTGTCGATCTCGTACTCATAAAGATGCCATTCACAATTTTTCATTGGTTGCGGATCCATATAATAAGATCTCTTCAACCCTCCAAACTCATTCATCACTTGCTTCCTTGACTCATGCCAGCCACGCCCATTATAATCTGGTAATGACCTTTGCTTTCTATTTCCGCTCTCAAATGCTCTTCGGGGCTTATCAAAAAAGAGCCACTCCCTGATTGTCTCACCCTCAAGTACTGAAAAATCAAAGAGCTCTGCAATAACACAAGGGAGTCGATTGATCATACAAAACTCACAAATAAAATCATTAACACAACTTCTTCCCCAACTTAATGGGGGAGAAAAAGTTAATAACTGAACAGACCTTGAGACATTTACAAACTTACCGGGAGCATTCCAGGGGGACTTTGAAGTTGCTGCTCCCTCACATTCTGGAATACCAACATGTTTTCCTTGTGCTTTGGCCCTAAGAGCATTGAAAAGCACTGGATCTTTCACGCCAATACCACCAGGTCTCAGAACTGGCGTCATACCAGGTGGACCTTCATTCAGTGCAAGTGCTCCATGAAGGCTACTGCAATAGTCTTGACACCAGGCCAATCCTTGAGCAGGCCTGTTACAATCCCAAAGCGCACATTTCGGCCCCAAGAAAGCAGAAGGTGGAGGGCAAATATTTGGCAGAAAAGCAGAGATCTGAGGGATAGCATCCTCACCACAAAGACCCGAACCATCAAAACCAGCAAAAAGAGTCTGCTCAAAGTCTTGATGGAAATCAAAAGCATGATAATCCAACTGAGTAGCAAACCCAAAGTTATGGACTCCCATGTTGTAAACTCCTGAAGGGGATTCTTTGCATTGATCAACCAACTGAAATCCTTGTTGCTGTGGCCCCTGATTCACACCAAAGCACTGCTGTATAATCCAAAGCACGACTTGTCAGTAAGTATCCATTTAAAAGCCTTACAGACATGCAGGAGATAAAGAAAAGTCGTTAAAACAACAAGAGACAGAGAGAAAAAGTTTTCAAAGCTTGTTGATTCAAATTGCAGAATAAAGAGGAAAAGAAACATTCTGAACACACAACCACAATAAAAGTAAACTCTTTTCACTCTTACGCACAACGGACAAAGCAAATTAAGAAGCTGGGAGTAGGGGAGATGGAATAACTATTTGCATATTAAATGGTTTTAACTTGGAAGAGAGAAAATTTGCTACTATCTAGAGAAATAAATATAGCAGAAAATGGGAATTGGATGCGTATGGGTAGGGCTTATGGTAATATAAGTGTTAAGAAAAGGAACTGATGTAGTATCTATAAAAAAAATGGACCTTCAACCTTGATATAAAACAAAGAGAAACAGAAAGAGAATGGCTTAAGGCTTGCTGATTTGAGTTGCAGAATAAAAAGGAAAAGAAACACTCTAAAAGCATAACCACAGTAGAAAAGCAAACCCTCCCCCCTCCCTCTCTTTATGGAAAAGGTAAACTGAAGAGTAGATAAAGGTCAGAACTTAATTACACAACCAGGTGAGAAATTATAAGCACTGCCAAGAATTAAACAGTATTTAAAGTTAACAAGTCCCTCAAAGATTAAAATAAAGAGCCCATCAAAAGCTGGATATCATGTATAAGCAGTGTGCAAGTGTATGCCAGTGAATATAGAATGAGATCGTGAAAATAAGGAACTCTTTGGTAACTGGAGAAGAGCACTTGAATTCTTATATAGAAGAATAAAGGCAATATTCCAAAACTCACAAGCATTATAGGCCAAAACTAATTTTATTTGAAAATAGAAAACGAAAAAAACCAACTAAAAATCAACTAGACTTTATACCAGAAGGATCAGCAACATAAGTTATTTTATAACAAAATTTGTTCGCGGAAAGTTTCTGGAAATGAAGAAAGACCCTTTTATTAAATTATTAAATTCAACTATGGACTAGAAAATGCAGTAACCTTGAAATCGAAGTAGTACCAAACTAAAAAAATAGATGTGACCAATAAGATAAATGGAGTGCTAATTGGCATGAGAACGGTGAGGAGATGACCAAGTGAATTTCCAACCACAACAGGTCATTGCAAAAAGTCCTTGTCCAATTTCATTGCTTGAGTACAGAGTTATAATATTAAAGAAAATATCTCATAGTGCATGATCAAAGACGGAGAAATTTTTAGATGGTCCCGGGACCATTGGTCCCGGCAAATTACCATTTGACGCTTAAGCAAAAAGCTGAAAAAACTTGCAAATTTCTGACACAACTGCGTATATGTCCAATGGTGATTCGCCCGGGACCATGTAATTACTTCTCTCAAACATGATTTACTTTTAGCCAATTATAGTATAGGATAACTAGTGACCTAGAATAATAGGGATGTGTATTCTAGGGTAACAGAGCTAAGAACATAAATAATTATCAATTGGTAAAGTTAAGAGTTGCATATGAGGGCAGAGATTCATGGCTCTGAAACTCATTGAAATTGATTAGGTCATGCATAATAAACACCAATTATTGCATGGTCAACACCTTAAAGGAGCAATATAATTCATAGCAGAAGAGATTATACAGATAAGGTTTGGTTAAGCCTGTCAGCAAAGCCATTGGAACTGCAATTTGACCAAAGATTTGGCCCTAGATAGGGTTAGTGAAATACGATTATTTGAGCCAGGGACATAACACATAGTTTTTAAGTGTTATGCATGGGAAAAAGGGGTAAACAAAACTATAACAGCTTCGCATGAAACAATCAACCAAAATGTAGAGACATAATTAATTAATATGTTACAACTTTCAAACTAGAAAGCAAAACAAAACAAAAGAAACTAAGATCACACACGTTTAGCAGTAACAACAATTCAAAAGGGTGGCATAAGAACAGAACAGGGAGTTAAACCAGGCAGTCCAAAGTGCCTATTTTCTTCTTTTGGTTCATATATCTTGATGCTGAGAAACTAAGAAGCCTCATCTGGCATATAATGAACTATGAAAATGTAATGTTGCATATCTTGTTTCCATTAGACATAGAAACAGTGGTAGTGGAGAAAGTAAAAGAAATTCACACCTGCTAATTTAGTTCAAAGAAATTCAACATCACACGGCAACAAAAGATTTTTAGAGAAAGACCGGGAAATCTTTAATAGAATTTTTTTTTCTGTCCCCTCTTAATTATTCCAACATGAAATCCATGAATTCTTTAAGTTCTAAGGTTCCAAACCCGTCTACTTATAAATGAATGCTTCTTATGCTATTGGGGATGTAAAAAGCTTCAACAATGGATCTCTCTCTCTCTCTCTCTCTCTCTCTCTCTCTCTCTCTCTCTCTCTCTCTCAATATGTACGTGAATGGTACTCTCTCTCAATATATGTACCAAATTTATGATTTCAAACTAATTAAAATAGTAAGATTTATATGCAAACCGAACTAATTAGCCTAAAACTTACATGTGAACCAAACTAATTCTAATAAGATATATACCTCTTGGAAAATAGCGCTATTGCTGACTTTTTGCCCATCAGGCTCAAGCTTTGGGGCAACTAATGCACTGGTGGCATCGTCTTCTTCTTCATAAAGCTGCAACAGCCGACAAATGTCTGATGAAAAAGACCCAGGACTTCCACCCTGCACAGTCAACATTTACATTATAATCCACAATTAAAATATTGGCACGCACACAAAACATTTATCATCATCGTAGTCATCATCCTTGCCTTAAACCCATATGAAAGGGACCAACCACATGAATTCTTCTTTTCCATTCTTCTATTACAAGCCGTCTCCCCTATAACACTTTTCTAAAATCATTTTTAACAATTTCATCCCATGTTAACTTCGGTCCCACTCTTTGTATCCTACCTTACATGCAAATTAGTCTTGCTCTTCTTACCAGAGCATCTATAAGTCTTCTTTGTATATGTTCATATCACTCCAATCTACTGATTCTACTCTCTCTTAATTTTCACTAATAGACACCACTCCTAATTTCTCCCTCACATGTTGATTGGTGACCCTATCTCTTTTAATCACCCCTATCGTCCAAATTAAACTACTCATTTTCACTACATGAATTCGTTGTTCCGGATTTTTTCAGTATAGTTCAACACTCTGCATCATATAAAATGATTTCCCTAAGTTATTTGTTATTCTATTATCACATAAATCGCCAGAACATGCATATATATGTACTTTTATGTGGGCATGTCTGTGTGTACTGTGTTCATACATATTTACATTCATACATAAATACATATACACTAAAGGAATAGAAGACGCTAACGTGCAGAGAAGAAGCTGGAGAGGGCTCGTTGAGTTCAGCTTTCCACTCTCGAAGCATCTGATGAACTTGCTCTTCAAGTACAGCGACTTCAATAGTACGGCTCTCCTTCCTCGCCGATTGCAGATCCGAGAACATGCCTTGAAGATCATCCACACGGTTCTTTGCCCTATCTTTGAATAGTTGGTGCGACGCAGACTTGCATCCACCGATCTTGGTACCTTTTCCCATAGAAAAACCCTAAATCGTCAACACTCACCTGCCAAACCACAATTAAATAGGCCTCAATTCGCAATCAACTCTAAATTAGATTCAAAACCACAAGTTTAGATATTATGACAATATTTGACCATGAATTTGTGAATAATAATAACAATGAACAAAGAAAAGAAATAAAGAACGAAAGCAAATATTCGAAAAGCTGAGAGAATTATCCAAAGAGAGAGCATTTGATACCTATCTCGGAATCGGAAAGTTTGAGCAGATGAGTGTGTGTGGGGAAAGAGACTAGAGAGAGGTGCTTTTTTTCTAGTTTTCTTCTCTCTCAATTCTCTGTTGAGTTCTCTTTCTACACGGAAAGCAACGTGCGCGGCAAAAGCGTTTTAGGGAATTATGCTGGTCTGAGTTTGTCGCCGCACCCCTCGTCTTGTGTTAAATTATCCATAGAACCTTCAGCGTGTATTGACAATTCTATCCTTAATTCATAGTTTTAATATTTTTTTTTTTTTTTTTTTTTTTTTTGTGCAAGAATATTAGGTATTAGTGATTAGCAATTTTAGTATTACTTTATATTTTAAGAGTGTAGTAAGAAAATGATATCTATATCCCTTTTTATTCTTTTTCTTTTTTCCGATCAATTTAATTTTTAATAAAAATAACATAATTATCTTTAAAAGAAACTCAAATCTCACACATTATTTGATAAAATTAAAAATAAATACTAAATAATTTAAGAACTAAATTTTAAGTACTAAAGTTTTAAAATGGTAATTAAAAAAAAAATTGAAATCTTTTTAAATTTTAAGCATTTGATATTCAATAATTAGTAAAGTTTTTGTCACACAAAATTTTATCTCACGTTAAATGGTGCTTAAAATATTACGATTACGTGTTGATATAATATTTAATTTTTATATTATGTTTGTATTATTTTTTATATTATTAGTATGTGAGCATATGCATTCAGCAAGATTTTTGTTGTCACAACCACATCTGGTCATAAGAGGCCCTCGCAACTGCCTATAACCACTCCAAGTGTTATAACCTCTTCTTTTCAAATGAAAGGTGAGAGAGTTTGAACCATGTAATTATCATTATTTGAATGTATGTAATTGAGAGTCCTTTCTTAGCTTATAAAATAAAAATAAAAAATAAAAATATTAAAAAAATTGGTGTCATAATCACTACTTTGGTTATTGTGTGTCGAATTAAGGACACGTCCCTAAATATATATACCTAAAACCACTTGGGTGCCCATGAGATTCCACTTTATCAAAAGATTATTCCTTCTAACCCTTTTATTTTTCTCCTTTGCCCTTTTTCTTGTGTATTTTTGGGATTAACCATTGAGCTATGTTTGACTCCATTCTTTATTCATATCACAATAACCCATATAGGGAAGTATATGTTGCTTCAAAGTTTTCATTTCTCCAAAAAAAATTTCCCTTTTATTTTCCTTTTTTCCTGATAATATGATGTGGGTTATTTATTTATTGGTAACAACTATTAATTGGATTTAATTGCAATTATTGTATATTTAATGCTTCAATACCAAGCAGTTCCTTTTTTTTTTTTTTTTCTCAATTTCTTCCTTATTTCTTTTTCTTTTTTCACATGGATGACTTGACATCAACTCTATTTTGGACAAACAGATTTCATTTTAAGGTTATGAAAGTGAGCATCTAGGATCTCATGTAAAAATAAAATTAAAAATTAAAAAAGTCTTGATGATCTTTAGAGTTATTAAAGCAAAAAATCAAGATATTAAAAGAAAAAATAATTATAATTATTTATATTGAGATATATTAAATATAAATAATCTTATTATTTTTTATTATAGCTTTAGGTCTCAACTTGAATCAAATCGCTCCTACACTAGACCAAACATAGGTTTGATTTTTGCTGCAAAAGTTAAAAAAACCCAATCATATTGACAGGATCAATAGCAATAATAACAACAACTAATATTACCTGGCCTGTCTACAAGTTTACAACTAATCCCAAATGCTCGCTTAGGCTTTTAGTAGCATTTTATATTTCTTTTAGTAGCATTTCATATTTCAAATTTTTGTTAGGTTCTATTTTCCTGTATTTAGTAATAATAAAAAAAAAAAAAGGTAAAAGATAGGAATTGAAATTTTTTTGTCATTATTAAAATCTCATGAAAAATAGGAGAGAAAATAAAATCACCAAAACAATTTGAAATTTACATGTCATATTTCTGTTTCATTTTCTCTAATCCTCCATAATTTTTTTTTTTCACAACCACTTTCCTTTTCCTTTTCCTTTAGATGAAGAATGCAAAGCGAAATAGAACCTTAATTTTGAAAGGGGAAGTTGAGTTGAATGAGGACATCACAGAATGGGGAATATTGTGTGTTCAAAGTTGACGTGGCGAAATGTGATTGGTCGCAAAGGGCCTTTACAAAAGCAACCAATTCCGAGAAACACACAAACAACACACCTTTGTGGGTGAGAAAAGTCAAAAATGAGAAGAGTAAGGAAAGCATAAAGGCCGCTTCCACTGCCCTTGTGGAGGAGATTCCTATATTGATGTCTCTTAAGATACAAGAGTCTTTAATGGAGCATTTTTATTACTAACCTTTCTCAAGATGATGAGCATCTTATGTCCTTAAAATGTAGCCATGCCAACAAAATCTGATCATGCCACTAACATATATTTGTAAAGATTGTTATGATGTTAGCAAAGTAGCATCAAAACCATATGCTACACCAACAAAATAAAATGAATAATAACATGTCAACTTAATCGACATAAAGTGACTCTTTAATTAAAAAGTGTTTAGATATTGAGACTAGGCACAGATCTATAAAGGACTCAGTGGGGGCATCCGCCTGAAATTTTTTATTATTACATTTTTGACCTCTAAATTTATACTTTTTTGTATTTATACTCATAAAATTATAAAATTGCCCCCACTGAAATTATTGTACACACAAATTTTGTAAGTCTGCAATAGAAACAAAATAGGAAGCAAATAATATAATTTTATTAATTTGATAAATTAAGGTACAATCCTCTGTAATATTCTTTACAAAAAGAATGGTCCTCTGATTCGATCTCCTTTTTGTTGTTGGTTGGATCCAAGGGCTGCACGAGTTTATTTTTGAATCGTCTTGGAATTTGGGTGAGGAATGGCACGATTTGATGTACTTGTTGTTGATCACCGTGGAATTTGATGAAGAGCGGCGCGATTTGATGTGCTTGGTGTTCTTCCCCTTTGGATTTGGATGTAGGGGATGAAAGCTTCTGTATTTCTCTTTGGAATTCTGGATCTCTGAATGCAGAATTTTTTGTCCCCCTTCTTCTTCCTCCAGGCCTCTATTTATAGGCTTCTTGGATTAAAAGAATGATGACACGTGTCATCTCCTGATAAGGATAAAATTATAACTGGGCCGGGCCGGTTATATTGTGATAATTATCCTTAAAAATAATTATTCCAAATATATTTTATTAGGAATAATTATCGTTCCATTTAATCATCTGGGCTGGGCTAATTAAATAATTTAAGTGGACCAAGCTTAGGCCAATTAAACATTTTAATTAAACATTAAACCCATATTGAATGGGTTAATTTGTCAACACCAAAGTCAATTAAATTTTTAGTGTCTACAAATTGCCTCCACTTCAAGTCCCATATTTAACAGGATTTGTTTCCTTTTTCAAGTGGGACTTGAAGTATCCAACTTTCCTTTTTTTTCTTTTTTCTTTTTTTCTTTTTTTTTTTTGGCCTTTCCAATCCCACTTCGAAAATTTGACTTTCCAATTTATACAAATCCCTTGCCTATATATATATATCACCCAAGTCATAGGATTTTGACATCAATTTCAATCAGTTCTGAAGGACTTGTAAGATCGCAACCTCTGAAGATTGTGTGGGATTGCGGCATCTGCTTAAACACATATGTATGACTGTTCTTTCTTTTCTTCTTCTTTTCTTGTTTTTTTTTCTTTTCTTTTTTTATTTTTTATTTTTTTTCTCTTCTCCACACTTGCTGGAGATCAATTTTTTTTTTTTTTTTCATGTTTGCTGGAAAACTTTTTTTTTTTTTTCTCCCCACGCTTGCTGGAAAACTATTTTTTTTTTTTTTTTTTTTTTCAGGACTTGATTGGATATAACAACTTGATTACACCAACCGTATCAGAAATTGAAATCTTCCTTCTTCACAACATTGATCGAGCTTCAAAATTTGTGTATTATTCCATCATGGTGGCATTCAAGTGTTTTATGAAGCAAAAGGTGACTATCTTAGAGAGCGAAAATTGTCGAAAAAGCCAAGGAACCACATTAAGTGTATTTGATTCACTTCTCGGTCGCGATGCCATTCATATGCCTGATCCTGATAATAAACATTGTTCTTCTCATTGGACACGCATTCAAATGCCTGATCCCGACAATGAACAATGTTCTTCTCATTGGACACGCAAGGCTACAGACTACCTTACCAACTTTAGTCTTGATCACATTAATGAAGAATCCCTTGTCTCGGAGGCCTTGATATTAAATTCTCCACTTCATGAGAGAATAGTTGAGGAGAACCAGTTTTCACTATTGGGTCACAATGTTCAAGCGAAGAAAGTGTCATGGAGTATTCCCTGTACACTTTCTACTGAATTACCACGCACCAAACTATATTGGGAATGGTTAGAAGATATCTTGGCGCGTTTCAATGACTTCTTATTAAAACAAAATCTATATGGTGCTCTATTCGCCTCGTTGTTTTCATATGATCACCATGAAGAGGTATTTTAAGCATTCCTCGAATGTTGGTGCCCAGCCACTAATACTCTTCATTGTTCTATTGGCGAGCTGTCTATTTCCCTTCGAGATTTATATGCGCTAGGCGATCTCTCCCATCAAGGAAGAATTTATGATGAAGTCATTCCGTGTGCAGATGAACTCTCGAGAGCTGGCAACAACAAACGTTCTCTCCCCTTGAGTTGTCAACATCTATTTTTGGCTTTCCACAGACTCCGCAAAAAGTACAAAGGAGAACAGAATGTGAAGATATCTGCCTGGATTAGTTTCTGGTTTCAAGGTGCATCAGGCATGCCAATCCCTCAAAGAGAATGAAAAAAAAATAAAGTTTATCGTCCAAAGGAAACTCAGAACCCTTTTGGTGCAATCCTTCATGTCCGGCCAATATCCACCAAAGAGAATGAAGTATTTATTAACCTTGGTGTAGATGAAGCATCGAGAGACACCACTTATCTAGCCGCTTTTTTAGCATGTTGGCTCTGTAAATTCATCTTGCCTGCACACCTTGGTAACGTGATTCGTCCTGGAACCTTCAAGGTTGCCAGCATGTTAGCAAATGGCTGCAACATTTGTCTTTCCATCCCAGTTTTAGCCAGTATTTACAGAGGTT